TTGTATCAAGGTTGTAGTGATATGTCTTACATTCCCAATATAATTTTATAATAATTACTCCCATCCGTTAGTTCAACAGCACATTAATTGCTGTAAGATGTTGTATTTTAATTGAGATGGATTTCTTAATGAGATATTAAAATCTGACCTTTGAATTAATAAGCATTAATGTTTCTATTTAGCATTAATTGCATTAATAAATGTCATTTATAACCATTCAGTGAAAGATGCAGCACACCTAGTTATCACAGTGTAAGAGTAACTGCTGCACCCAGATTAGAAATTCAAAATGATCTTGCACCCAGTTGAAATCTACTTACACAGTCTGTAGTCTAGCTGCAAGCCCCTGTGTGACCCCCCTATCTCACATAGTGGGTATGTGTGTAGTGGGGGATCACAAGGGCTTGTAGCTAGACTATACAGGTTGGCAATAGTTGAAGGGGGTGAACACCTACCTATTTCCCTTGAAAATAAAAATATAGAATATTGTTTCCTGTGATTTAATCATTTGAACAGAAAATCAACATTCCATTTAGAAGAATTATGATCATATTAATGTGGAAATGGCAAATGTTGCCCTTTGTACATTTTCATTTGCATTGTCCATATTCTGTTGATGCATGTAAACTTTTTCAACAACAGGTTAATACAACGTGTCAATTTATGTGAATATTAAAATAAAAACTCAAAAAATTAATCAGATGATTTACAACATAAAGAAAATGCATTATGCATAGTATTAATGCTATTGGTTTTGAGGCTCTAAAACCATATCATTATGGACCCCCTTGCCCTCTTAAATAGAAAAAATATCAATGTTATTTCTAAGCTTTACTTACCTATTGTTGCTTGTTCAGCTGATTTAATAGTCCATTTTAGTATGTACTTTACATTGTCATTGTCCTTTCTCTGTGACCTCCAATTTGTTGACATTCAAGGTTTTTTTGTTTTCCACATTTAGAATAACATAATGCTCAGATAAATTAGTATGCTAATTGTGACAGATAAACACATCTGCCAATGGTTTCTATAAAAAGTGTTACTATGATGTGATTTGCATTTTAAAATGTGAGCCTTTTCTGTTTTGTCCTACTGTTTCAGAAGTTGCACTCATTTGACTCAAAATCACATCATTTCTTATTGATGGATTAATTCAATATATATATTGTCTTTAAATCAGCATATTTCAATGTTTATCAGTTTGCATGTATTCAGAATGTAGAATGTGTCTATATGATTTTGTCTTTATATCATGGATACTTTCTGTTTCATTATGTAAAGCACATGTCCCTTTATCATGTCTCTTATCAATTCATAGTTATTTGACTTCCATTTTCATTTCTTCGTAATTATAAGATTCTAATGACATATACAAGTATGCAACATTTCAACATCACCATTCACTTCAGCAAATATAGCCCTTACATATATGTAACTACAAATAGATTCATTCTTCATTCTCTCATATAGTGAAATCAGAATATGTATAGAAATGATATTTTAGCTATTAGACTGCCATTCACTAGTTTTGGCTTAAAATGTGAAGGAAATTTCTCAGAATTATGAACTTCTGGCAAATTTAAGAAACAAACAGGAAATGTTTGCAAGGGATCATTGATCGCCCTCTAAGGTCCCTCAGTATACCTCCAAGGTAATGTCCAATTAATATTTAGTAAAAAAAAACACTACTTAAGTTTAAACGACAATATGATTTAATTGATTGATAAAATTGCATGATAGAGTAAGTTCAGTACTCTTTATATGTAACTTCATACATGTTAACCTTGTCTAGAGCGGAAACCTGTAAAAATACATGTACATGTACAAAGTACATATATACTTTGTGTATCTTGATTAAATTCATATTTATCATGCTAGTGATAAGTTGTCACGTGACAGTAGATATCAAATCAAATAACAGATTTTTTGATCGAAAAATCGAATTATTTCTGTATTGTTTTCATCATTTAGGGCAACAAAACATGATTGCAAAACAAAATAGGTATTAATTATGATTGTAAATCGATGAGGAAGCACTGATGTATGTATTATTTATGTATTCGAAACGAAATTCATCATCTGGATTTCGATCTATATTCTTCACGGTATTATCGCCCACCGATATTTTTTCATATTTTTCTACGAATTTTTATTTTGGCGTCTCTCCTTAAACGCTAAATTTCGCCAAAGTTTCCACGTCGTTAAAGTTTCCACTTCTACAGTACAGGGGGGGGAGATTTCCCAAAGATGCCCTATCATATTAGCACGTTCGAAAACAAATTTTATAAACAGGCCTCAATTTGCCGTTGAAATGGATCTCCAAATGTTCACTGTAGTTTATTCTCTGCAAGTATGGATCGAGTAACTTCAATAGTATTACCGTAGGTTTGAAATGATGATGTTGAACTGATGTTAACGCCATTCCCACGATTTCAAATTTAACTCTGCGCATGCGCAGCACTTAGAGAGCACGTGCTCATGATTGTTCACGTGATCTAATCCTGCAATTTGATTGGAGATGATGCAAGAGATGATGTAATGGGGAATCCCCCAATACGATAGAATATGAAAGAATTATGGGAGCTACTCACTCCTCCTGGCAGAAATAGGTGGAAGGTAGATATTACTTCAACTCATATCACAAATAAAATATATAAAACCACAAATGACTTTGAGAACTATCAATAGATGGCTGCCCTGTCAGTGTCAACCCCCACGCATGTAAGGTGTTCCCAAGTTGACAGGTCTGAGATGGTGAGGTACAAATGCTGAATTAGATGTAACAATCAGTTAGCCTTCCAAAAACTTGCTTCATCATTAGAATATTTTAGGCTCATTTCTTCCCTGTTTTCTAAAAATTTTTGTAATTTATACTCAGAGAATTTTGGACATTTATAATGTTCATTTTTCCATAAATGTTGATATCCACATTTATAATCTGGTAGAATTTACACTTTTTGAAGTTTGAATCTTAATACATTGTAACTTAACCATTTGATAATGTATTGAGACATTCAAAATGTTTTGCATAGAAACATCTCAAAAGAAAAGATAAAGTTTTTTTTATGAAAGTGTTACCCTCCTGACATGTCCAGTGTTCATATAAAATTTCAGAATCATATCATGTGTACTTTCTGAGATACATGTACATGTACATAGAATTTTAAATTTGAAGCATGGTTCATATTAAGATATCATAAGCATAAGCATTACCTTCGATTAGACCATTTTTCATCATGTGAAATTGATTAGGGAACTTGAAAAACTCATTAAATCAGCTACTATGCATTTTAGGGGTCATTATGACATAACAGAAGATGACAGAATTGGTTAAATTGATGTCATTGTTACTATGGAAACATCACTAGATATTGTTTTAATAGATACATAAAGAAAATAGGTACATTGTTCTCTTACAATGATTTCATTATATGGGGTTTACGAAAAACACCGACCGCCGACCACCGACCAGTCACTCTCCACAGTTGGGTACATGTGGTCGGTGGTCGGCTGACAGTCTTTTACATAAAGATGAAAAAATGCAAAATTGGAAGTAAAACTAAAACTGGGAATCCAATGACTATAGTACCTTTACTAGGTGGTGATTTAAAAACGTATAATTAATCATTTCAAATCACGATGAAAACGTTACATTGTCGTGGTGTGTAATGTCATATTTTTAAGTGATGTTTCAGTTGTTAGAAGACCAATTTCATCCTGGTTAGTCACTTTGGAAAAAAACGCATGTAACATTGCATCAAGTTCATTCATATTAAACGCAATAACAAAAACACACAAACATCGTCGATGTTGACGTCGTAACGTTATGTTTGATTTCTCAGTTGTTAAACGTCAACTGGTAAAAACTACATTTGATATGACAAAAAAAGCTTTCTAATGGTGTACTGAAATGGTAAGTCACTTTTAATCCCGATAAGAGAACCCATGTAACATTATATCGTGTTCAGCATTCAGTAGGCTATGACGATAACAAATCATTTTTGTTTCGAAATTGTTAAATTTCATAAAAAGAAACGATAGGTTGGTAAATGATAGGTTAGGACCTAAGGCAGGACAATTAATCGAGAGGAGACGGTCATGCCCAATTTGTTTGCTTGCCATTCGTTGCAAGGTACACAATCGGTAAAACGTTGCCTAGTCCAACGATTGACATTCAAAATCAAATTATTAATATTTTAAGGCTACAAATATGTTCGATCTTTTACATGATATGGTCGGTCTTTTACACAATTTCTTCAAACCCTGTTTTGAGGCTACCAGTGGAAAACACCGACCGGTCGGAGGGGTCGGTCTTTTTTGTAAACCCCATTATATGTATTGGTACAGCAATAGAATTCTATATACAAATGTTCTGTTAATTAGCCATTTCTTTACTTTCAGATTAGTTGATGCCAGAAACACATCAGTCAATATGTTAATGAGCCACAAATTTCTTTACTTTCAGATTAGTTGATGCCAGAAACACATCAGTCAATATCCTGAAGGCTAGAGCATGGGTTTTCTTCAAGTCCTTGGTAAGAGCTGCTTGACTAGAAAAGGGAAGTAGCTACTACGGAACTACCCACTCTTGAAAAGGGTTACAATGCTCCATACAGAAAGGGAATGTCAAAGACTTCTGAATCACAGTGAGGCAGGGTGAAAATCCTGTATAGGAATACCTGTTTAGACACTTTTGTAATTCAATATGTGACATGGATGACAGTATCTTGAAAAGAAAATCCAAATTGAATCTTAATAATTAAATTGAAAAGTGACAGGGATAAAGCGAAACCCTGTATTTGTCAGTCATCGGGGCAATGGCTCCCATCCCAGTAGATTAATTTTTTTCATTTGATAGAAAGATATGTTACAATGGAAAATTAATTTGAAATATATATATGGCTGACCACACCAAACTTGACAATTATATTTCTTGATTTATATAATGAACATAAAATGGTTTACCAATGCATTGTCCATTTGATAATTTATTTAACATTAATAAGCAACTTCACAAACCCAAAGCTTTCTCAGTACATACTGTAAACAACAGTTGAAGATTACAGAAAAAGTTTCGTAAGTTTGTTTTTTAAGATCATTCTTCATATGTACAATTCCAACAGTTCCCCAAACAATTCATCCATATATGGTCATCATTTAGGTCATTTTAAGATCATCATGAATACTAATTCAACAGTTCTCCCAACAGTTCATCCATATATAGGTTCATTTAGATCATTTTAAGACCATTGTTTGCGAATACAGATTTAGCAGTTCACATATTTCAATCTCAACAGCTCATCCATATATGGGTTCATTTAGATCCTTTAAAGATCATTTGCTGTGTATAGAAATTAATCAATTCACATATTTAAATCTCAACAATTCATCCATATATGGGTTCATTTAGATCATTTAAAGATCATTTGTTGTGTATACAAATTAATCAGAATACATATTTCAATCTCAACAGCTCATCCATATATGGGTTCATTTAGATCATTTTAAGATCATTTGTTGTGTATACAAATTAATCAGAATACATATTTAAATCTCAACAATTCATCCATATATGGGTTCATTTAGGTCATTTGTTGCTTATACAAATTCATCAGTTCACATATTATATAAGTATAATAAAATAACACACATTACAATGGACACAACTTTTTAAAACGGTCACTTATTCGCCAAATTGTCATTAATCAGTGATTTTCCTTCAAGTATTTACATATTTATTTACTAAATCAGTCCACTCTACTTTTCCAGTGATAGTGAAAATCGTAAAATAACACACTTAAAAATGGCTGCCATTTCTCAAAATGGCCACCTACTGGCCAGAGTGTCATAAGACAGTGTTCTATGCTTCTAAGTATTCACATATTAAATATGAAAAATTCCAAAATCTCTCAACATCCTTGTCACTGCTACTATAGAAGTATGCCATAATTTCTCCATGCATTGAACATTTGATCTCAACAAGAAATTGAGAAGATTCTATCATAATTGAAAATGGAAATCGCCATGATAATACCATGATCAAAGACTGTCATGAAAATGGCAATGCTATAGTGGTATTTGATGGCCACACTTGACCATGAAATATTAAGTCAGACATGGCATACCATGGTAAAATACCATTGCTGACCATGGTCAAAGTTTACGGTAATTTCATTACTGATCACTAACAGCCATGGTGTCGTGTAGCTCTAGGGCCTGAACAAGAAAAAAGAGATTTAAAACCATCTTTAAACCGCTGAGAGCAAATGATGTACAGTACAAAGTTGATCACAGTGTTCATGTAATACACACTAATGCTAAAATTCCCAATAACCTTAACCGTAACATATTTATCAAGGTCATCGAGATCATCATTAAATGCTGAGTAACAAAACTGGTAAGCTATGGTAGGTATTACACTAAGTAACAGGAAAAAGCTTATTGCAAACATCACAATTGTCATCTTTGTGACACCCTTTGCTTTTTGAGTGACTCTGAAGCTAAGTGTGTGTTTGCGGTTGTGTGCTGCAGAGTAGACCTGCTGAAGAACAAACACATTTCCAAAAACAACAAAGAAACCAGGGATACAAGCAAACAGGGCAAAGTCAACCCAAGGGAAAATGTAGAGAGAATAATAGTAACAGCTTTCGTTAGAAACACCACAATCCTGGGATTGTTCAGTATGATTCGTCATAAGCGGTATGATTCCAAAACAATAGAGGAAATGACTGTTTGCACATGCAAGGAATAATACCAAGAAGATAATCATAACAATTGTCTTACAATGACTGCACCAAATCTTTACCTTATGTGGCCAACCAGTTGCAATCGATCTTTCAAATGCAATCAACATTACAAGCCAACAGGAGAGGTCGGAGAATGTGTAGTTAAGAAATTTAAACATTCTGCATCCCCAAGTGAAATGGTCTGTGTAGTCATAGTTTAGAAGATGTGCAAGCAAATACCTGGGAGTGCCAACGACGAGAATGACTATGTCAGATACTGCAAGACAAATCAAGATGATATTCATTGAGGATGGTGTTGAGCTTTCTAAATTCTGCTTTCGCAAAATTATTATGTTCAAAATATTTCCTGGTACACCTAATATAAAGGAAAGAGGAACGGCAATTTTTCGACCCAAATCAAAAATTTTATATATTAAAAAGTCATCTGGAGAAAGGTTTGATTGGTTGTTTGATTGTGTGGCAGAGCTTTGATTACTGAATTCAATTGACCTGTTATTAGAAGTATGAATGTCTCGTATGATTGGTCCAGATGGTGTTGTCCTTAGCATGTTTGTTACAGGAGTAACATCATTATTATTTTCTGTTGTCCCATTTTGTCTCTCGATATCTTGGCTCTTTGCAGAAGACACTGCTGTTGCAAAACCATTCTCAAAATCTTCTAGCTCTGTTGAAACCATCTCCTTAGATCTATTCCAGGGAACATGGCTTTGTGTTGTTCCACTCGTTAGCAAAACTTCCTCTGCTCTCAGTGATTCTGCAAAATAAAATATCTGAGTATCCCCAAAAAAGATTTCTAATGAGGTCAACCCTCTATTTCCTCACAAGCAATTTTATATTATGGATACTACTTTAATTCATACATATTGAGTTCATCAAATGTAGGGAATGAGGAAGACCTCATATGCATATATGTCATGATATTAGAACAAAAAACCATGATATTTTAAAATTAATATGTTTTATGTATGAAAATAAACACAAAATAATTTCTGTTCTTAAACTGCAGTAAAACCTACTTAGTAGAACATCTGTAAGTGGAACACCTTGCAAGTGAAACTTAAAATACATTGTATACCAAGAGGCCTACAAACAACTTTATGATAAAGTGTTCATATTTTTTTGTATTAAAATGACCAATACATAAGTATGCTTCATAATCAACAAAAAAGTTGGTGTCACCGACTTCATTTTTCAATTAAAGCTAAAAAAGTTGATTCCCAAGTTAAAGCTTTGGAAAGAAGGGAATTAATTATTACCTCTAAAACTGAACAACAGGATTTTTTAATTTTTGCAGACTTGAAAGTAATAAAAGTCAATTTTAAGAAAATGAAAACCATGACTACTGTAGTTGCCATTTTGAACCATTTACTTATCTAGCTAAAAATTGTTAAGCTTAATATCAGAGTTTTTTGCAAATAGGCCCACTGCCACTGGGCGTTTATTTTTGGGCCAAGAGGCCCATGGCCTATATTAATAGGCAATAAACATTTCTCCAAGGGGATGGACATTTATGAAGAAGGAAAAATAGGTTTCCCAAGGCAGTGGGCGTTTATTTTGAGGAATATTATCGATTATAAAGTTAACACTTGGCTTTCATGCTCACGCAATAGTATCATAACGCGGATATGAACGTTGACCAAAATGTGACCTTTTGTCATAATTTTGGTACATCATGTCATGTTCACCCCAATTCTATGTTTTGTTTGCCACTTCTGTTTTTCCAGGGCTGTTTTTTTATTCAATAGCATTTGCCTACCTCTACCATACCGGAATATCTGCTCCCGATTGAAGGAGACGTTCTTACACAATTGAGGATAAAATTGCAATCATGAATCATATTCAAATGATTTCAATAAAACCTTAAGTCTTGCTAAATGGTGTCATATTTTTAATAACTAAAGCAATAAGTACTTGAATGACAGTAATCACTTATAACCTTACATATTACGCTGTTATTAAGTAATTTCAATCCTTTATTTTCTCGAATGGCATTACGACATTACTGTTGTAAGCAATTACAATCCTTGGAATCTTTTTCATACACCCCTATTTCAAATAAATGCCCATGGGCCTATTCATGAGAAACTCCGATACGTCTAAACACTTACACATTCTTCCTATTAAATCAAAAGATAAGTGTTGATCTTACAGGAATACCTTAATTGACATTCTAAAATAATTATTTCATTATAACATGTTTTCCCTGGGAATAAAACTGATATTAAAAAAATCCCGTATCAGATCCTGTATTAGCCAAAATCCTGTATCAGCCAAAATCAGATCCCGTATCAGAGCCATCAGAAAATTTCACAAGGCTTCATATTGTGTTATTATGGCATATTATGATCCATATTAGTATTATGAATTGTTTCTATTTTAAAACTTTTGCTGATAAAAGTTGAAAATGTCATTCGATGAATTAGATTGTATCATTTATTGTCACCATCATTGGGTGACGATATACCAAACAAGTTTCAGAAAAATATTATGAAATAAATAGGTTATTGATGGTCTAGATGGAATATGAATTTTTTCCTCGGCTGTGGCCCTTGGTCAATATCATATTTTCCCTCGAAATAAAATTCATATTCCATCCCTCCCATTAAATATCTCTATTTATCTGTTGCCAGGTTGACAATACCTTGTTCAATGGTTGAAGTTGTTTGTCCCTCATGTCCAACATTGTAGCTGTCCTCTGTAATTAGAAAGGTGTTCCTGTTCAATACAGCATGAACGTTACAGCAATGGAGCAAAACAATTAAAATGGCTTTGTTGCATGCCATAATAAAGAAACCAAGTTGAACCTTTAATTTCTAAATTATTAATGAATTATCAGTGCGATGGTTGGTATTTTCTTTCTGGAAGTTTTAATAACTAAATAGCTTATTTATATTACCATATTAGGCCATATGAGAGGTGCACCAGGTTTGTTGCTATATTTAGTTATCAAATATACTTGTTACCAAAGAAAAAGTGATACTTTAATTAATGATATGAAAATTGGAACATCGAAGCAGGCTAAGCACTCTACTAGATAGCTAATTTGGTTGAGATGGCATAGCTAGATGGCATCATCTAATTATTTAAATGACTTCAAAATTGGCAAATGGCAGGGAATGTGGGTGAACCTTTTTCATTTGTGACTTTATCTTAGAGATTATGGCAGATATTATATCATTTCAGCGCTTTCATAAATTAGGAACAACCAATAAGCCTACAGAGTTTCAAATATGTAATACATTAAACCCAGGTGCACAGAGACAAATGGGATCTGCATTTTTTACACTGTTTAACTTAATTTTACCCAATTTTCCAATTATACTTATGGGGATTTTTACCCAAATAAGTGTGACATTTCATTAAATTAAGGGCAATTTGGAAGATAACGCTGGGTAACATTTGTCTGTATTTAAGAAATCTAGACCAAAGAGGAGATATTATATAGATGCATAAATACCGCAGGGCTAGGCACAACCAATTTCAATACCAATCGACCAGTGAGATTTAGGGGTTCGAAAGCTTTTGTGTTTAGCCCTATATAAGATATTTATTACATGATATAATACTTGATGTGAGGTTTGTATTATGACTCAAACATGAAAACTCGCTAAGTCTTGTAAGTACAGACCAGGTATTGTATCGACAAATAATTCCTGGGTGATACATTGTATATTGACTTTGTTCACAGTTTATAGAACAGTCATGTTCGAATGTCTACTTTTACAGTATTGGTTAATTGAGTGTGAGTAAAATGACTCTTACTGCAGGTGAGAAAATGAAACCATGTCAAATATATGGTAATTGTAACAAGGTATTAACATGTAAAATGACACCCCCTGCCATTTGCTATAGACACCGAACACCAACCGCTGTCCACAAGAAAGTTGAGACTATAACAAGTAATAATTTTCTAGATTCTTGAAAGGTAGTAACTTAATTTGAAATTAATGTTCAATATATACTTGGGCGATCTTGAATGTAATTATTTTGAGACAACGTTAGTAACCCAGTCCTTTAAGTAGGAAGTCTTGGGATTTGCTTCTATACTGAACGCCTAGTAATGTTTGAGTGAACTACTCATAACAAAGCATTAACATGCAATAATTGTCACCACCTGCTATTTGTTGCAAACCCAATGTTACAGATGCCGGACACCAAGTGCCATTGGAGATCATAACAATATATCACTACTTGTCGTGGTGATATAATTATTTAAATCTTTTCCCCTAAATTGGTTTGTCTGGAAACATCTTGAGTTCAGTTTTTTTGGCCCACCCTGTTAATAATCAGAAATAATAATGTAGCTTGAAGGATCCTCCACTAGGATCATATTCAGCAGAGCTGACTCAGTGAAACATTTAATTAAAGAGGATTTAATCACTTTAATGCATGTGGTTTACACACGATCTGAGTATTACAATGTCAACTCATTTTTATTTGATTTTGATGTTAATTCATTGCATGTTACCATTTCATGTCCCATTGTGTCCGTTATTGAGAGGTTGTACCCCACTCTGATAAGGGGCGATTTTTTTTAATTCTTCAGTGGGTACCACAGGGTTCAAAATTGTGATATTAGAAAGATAGGTTACAAACCAATTGGATTTGGACCAATGGTGGACAAGTTTTAAACACATGTATCTTGAGATATTTTATTCTACAGATCAATAAAGTGTGTTGTGGTATACACATATACATGTATTGCACACGATTCCATGATTTTGAAATCCTATTGTCATCTCAATACAAATAACACACAAGAGCAAAGTTGTGGACCATTAGTAACCTATTTATTAGCAACCACTGTTATAAACATGTAGATCATTGACGTATTGATAATGTCCAGATCATATCATATCACAGTCTTTTATTGTATGTACAAAATATGTATGTTTGTATTACAAAATGTTATTTTGTAGTGCTGAATTTATACCAAGTGGTTTGTCTGTAGGTTTCTCCTGGTCGAAGAACAGAGTTTGGGAATTCAGGCTGAAACATAAAAATGTGTCAATCATTAGTTTCAATTACTAGATTACTAGATTATTAGAGAGAAGTAGCTAACATGGTCTTTAATCCGTAGAAAATGAGAGATTTTACACACAAAATAACCACTTTAACAATGTTTAATTTGTATTTATACTGCCATGTCTATAAAGTGTAATTTAAGGTGCATTTTGTTCTACTAACAATACAATAATTGCATAATACAAGCTTTTTTAACTTGTATTATCTCTCTTTTGATTTATTTGAAATGTTTTGACCTTATCGATCATTTTGGGTTTTTTTTAACAATGTAAAAGATATTTTGTTTATTTCTAAAATTCGGTACATCTTTTCTATTGTTATTAATATTTATTTTTGCAAATAATTAAATATGGTACATCACCAATCGCCAATTGAATTACAGGAAAAGAAATGTTGGCAAATCATGAAAGAAACAAATCATAAATGTACTTTGATCTGGATTCAATTTCCAAGGATAGAAACCAAATCCAAACCTGTCACATCCTACCTTGTTAATTGCATCAACATAATTCTGACATTCTACACAAAATGCTGAATGCTGTCCATAGATTGCACCAGATTTCCCAGGAACATTGTCCAAGAAGTTCCCAGTATACAGATGGGCGGTTGTATCTGTCGTATACACCTCCAAACATCTGCCAGATTTTGCATGCTCCACCCTGTGTTCAAAGACAACATTAAACATTATACGTACATTATACGGTATGTAGTAGGGATCAATACTGAAAATATTAACCATAGATATAGGCAATACTTAGCAGTTATGTCCCTATCATTGAATATATGCCTGAGGTCTGTCACCAATATAGCCCGAGCTTGCGAGGGTTATATTACGACAGAGCGAAGGCATATATTCAATGATACGGACATAACTGTTGTATTACATACTTTTATATCATGGCTACGTTATATCAATGACGCCATGTGTCTGCGTGCGAGTGAAATTAGGAAGAAATGAAACATGACATCCCGATGACGTCATAAGATTGTCATGGTAAAAGGTTTGGCAGCTATACAGGAATATATAGCCGACCTTCAGCTCCATTGACTTCAATACAAATGCGTCACTGGGTATGTAATACAAGAGTTTAAACAGGATTTTGCCCAGTGCATTATAAACATGATCTAACAGAGAGTATAATTAACATGATCTAACAGATAGTATTAACTTAACATGATCTTATATAACAGAATGTATGAAATTGATCTAACAGAGTATAAGCATGATCCGTCAGAGTTTAAACATGAACTGATAGAAAGTATTAACATGATCTAACCAAGAGTATAAACATGATTTGACAGGGTATAAACATGATTTTACAGAGACTATAAACATGATTTAACCGGGGCCTTTGAATGTTTTAAATGTATGGTAACTTTCCTCAAAAGAACAAAAGGAAAATGATTATCACATTGACGTTTAGTCATTTTAAGGGGTTTCTCTGACTGAAAAATTAGCATTTGATCACTATATTTGCCAGACCTGTTGCTTTGGTAGCATACATTTTTGAGAAACATAATTATGCATAACTGTCCATATTTACAACTTATACCAAATTTTTGAATAAACTGAAAGATAAGCAGAAAAATATGTCATGTGGATGCACTATCAGGTGGACTGCATGCTTTTCTTGTGCAATGTCTCTTAATTCCATATCATCCTCATATCTCACCTTGCAGCAAATTTCTTTTTCTTTTCGTGTGGAAGAACAAAGGAATGATCAAAACCACGATCTTCTTTAGGAGCATCATGTATTCTGTCTCCAATTAGCGTCGGTGTTGTAAAGTTGAAAACAGTTCCTTCTACATTTGCCTCTCCTAAAATATATTTATAGATATATAATAGATATACACACACAAAGTATATGGTATGATGAGCAAAAAAGCGTAAAAAGAATGACGATAGGTTCAGAATAAAAAATATTGCTTGAGAAGTTTATAATAAGGCACTTACATGACAAAATCATGGTTACAAAAATGTAACAATCGTTACATATCCCTTCTCGTATTTAACAGATAATATATTTCCTAAAAGGTTAATAAATATGATAGACACAGACACAAATCACAATTCGTGTGTGTCTGTTTCTTCTAAAATCTTTCAAGGTTTCTTCTAAATTTTTTCAATGTTTCTTCTTAATTCCTTCAAATCATTCATGCGGGAGAAGCAAAACATGAACTTATTCTGTGTTCTAATGACTTATGCAGACATGAGATCTTACATGTACTTACCAGTAGGTATTCCATGTTCATCCTTTAACAAGTATTTATTGCTGTTAAATGTCACTAAGTGGTCATAGACATCTTTGGCACCCTATAATTAATAAGTGAATCATTTAGCACCTCATTTAAAAGAAAGATGTCAAGAGCCAAGCCAAAAGCCAAAAGATGTCAAAAGCCAAGGGTCACATAAAATTATGTTTTGAAAAGTTTCAAAAGTAAATGTCAGTTTCAAATTGTCTTGAGAATAGAAATAATCTTGATTTTGACATCAATAAGTAATCAAAATTAAGTGATATCATACTTTAAAGTTTAAATCTACATGCAAAGTTTCATATAAAAATGTTTCCCCATAAGTGAAATATCCTTTCTCGTATTTAACAGATAATATATTTTCATGTGATTTCTTTAAATAACTCCTAAAACCTTGATCCCTCTAAATCTAAAATAACCCCCTCCTTTTTGGAATGATATGCAACTTGTAATGGCAATAGATACAGTACTGTACATGTTGCTTTGATTTATGTACAGGTATGGCCACTTTCAATTGATAAACAAGGTGCAAAGGGTTAATAAAACATTACCAACCTGACCAGCAAGGTTAAAGTAAGAATGGTTTGTCAGATTTATAGGGGTAGCTTTGTTGGATATAGCAGAGAAATCCAAACTGAGTTCGTTTTCATCATTTAACTCATATGTCACACGTATTGTGACATCACCAGGATAGTTTTCCTCCCCATCTTTACTCCAGTAGAACATATTAACTTTTTCACCCTCAACAGAGCAAGACCACAGCACCTAAATGGTTAATAAATACAATTTTAAGAAATATCATAAACTTCATTGTTGTAAGTGTATGGATTATCTGACTGAACTTAGTTGTTCTTAGGTGTTCAAGAACTAAACTTAGGTGGTCAAAAACAGAACTAAGGTGTTCAAAAACTGAGCTCAGGTGTTCAAAAACAGAACTAAGGTGGTTAAAAACTGAACTTAGGTGTTCAAAAACAGAACCAATGTGTTCAAAAACTGAACTTAGGTGTTCAAAAACAGAACATGAGTGTTATACTTTCTGACATAATGCAACATGTTCTCCTTTATACAAAGCAATACGATTTGCAACATATGTAAAAGGGTGTTATGAATGATGCAATCTTAAAAAGGTCTGTAATGACTTACATAATACATAATGGCAATTAGCAAAATGTTGATATTAACATATTTGCTAATTGTCACCACTTTGTAATATTAATCTAGGATATTATTTCAATAAAAATGGAGTATAATATAAACTAATGGTTTGATGTGGTTTATGTCATACTAGAACATGTTATATATGTTACACTAGAAACCTTTATTCTAAAAATCAGATGAAAAGATAAAACCTGTCAAACCCTCCACATTCTATTCTAAACCATTTTTTAGAAAACATTACCTTATTAAAACCTACTGCTCCACCATGTAAACTATTGGGTCCATTATTTACATGTAAATTGTATGTGGTTCCATCCAATGTGAATTTTCCATCAGATATCCTGTTACACACCCTGCCAACAAGGGCACCAAGATATGGCTTGTTATCCTCCCACTCTGAAATATTTCATATTATCAGATGTTATCCCACAGTAACAGGATAAACATGTAGAGTTGTCAGATGCTAACTTAATTAATTAAAATATAAAGTGTAAAATATGTTTAATGAGATATGTGTTATATCTTCAGATAATTAATAATTATTTTGAAATATTTAATATGTGGATTTGACTATAAATATGAGATAACAATGATATATGCTATAATTTTCTTGGATTACACGGCCTTTCAATGCTTTAAAGAGAGAATCAGATCTAGCGAGCGAGCCAACAAAAAATTGTTTCAATTTTAGAAAATTTCTGGCTCATGTCATTCCTTGTCATGTGTTTGTTTTCAAAAAATCCCCAAAGTGCACACTTTATTTCAGGAAAACTAAAGATTTTTTGATAAGATGTTATTTTTCTATAAGAATGGTTACCATTCTGATTATTTGGGAAAATTTAAACATTTTTCGCCCATTTTTGAACTTTGAGTCCATAATAACTTCACCAATTTATAACGTCACGAATCTTTTTGGAGATATTGTATTTGAGATTGTAAAGAATAGATAAATAGGTCAATTGTACATGTTGCTTGTAATTTTTTCACCCCTATAGATCTGATTCTGCCTTTAATCATAAGTATTAATAAGAGAGAATCAGATCTAGCAAGCAGCCTAACCAAAAATTGTTTTAATTTTAGAATATTTCTGGCTAATGTCATTCCTTTTCATATCTATTTTCCAAAAATCCCCAAAGTGCACACTTTAACTCAGGAAAACTAAAGATTTTTACAATAATGTATTATTTTTCTATTAGAATGGTTACCATTCTTATTATTTGGAAGAATTCAAACATTTTTCATCCATTTTTGCACTTTGAATCCATCATAACTTCACCAATTTATACTATATTATGAATCTTTTGGGAGATATTGTATTTGAGATTGTAAAGAATAGATAAATAGGTCAACTGTACATGTTGCTTGTAATTTTGTCACCCCATAGATCTGATTCTGCCTTTAAAATTTAATTTTCTTTAAGATAATACTAACATACAAACATTTATCACTTACACATTGAAAATATGATCAAAAAGGAAATGGCAATGCTCATTTTAAAGTTCTCATGTTTGTAAACAGGGCAGCATACCCTTCTCTTGAAAGCCCATAAGATTTATTATTGTGAAAACTTTTAAGTGAAAAAGTCCATTTTTACACCTCCTTATAGGAAGAATATGTTTAAAAGTTCAATGATCTACTACAGTAGAACATGTATATCTGAACACCTGTGACTAATCCGAACACCTCCAAATCTGAACACTTATTTTCGGTCTCATTTTTTCCTCCCATTGACTCCCATGTTAAAAAAACTTGAAATGTGAACACTTCTCAATTCGAACAGTGAACAGTCATATTTTAAAAATTAACCTGTCTAATCTGAACAAAAATTTCACATCTTTTCCAAAAATTTCACATCTTTCATACAAAATAGCTCAAATATTGTTATGATATCAAAACTTTAGGAAAAAAACTTAAATTGCTCAAATATTGTTATGATATCAAAACTTTAGGAAAAAAACTTAAATGGTCTTGATTATAATAGGGCATTCCAACATGACTAGATTGAATTTTCAAATTTCTGAAATGTTATATAGCCATGTGTTCAAATGAACTATAAATATGTACCAAGAATGTGTTCACATTTCTTCAGAATCCGGAATCTCGCGAATGCAAAAACCTTGAAATGTGAACACCTCCTTATCTGAATGCTTTAAGCCGGTCCCAAAGGCATTCGGATTAGACAGGTTTTACTGTAAATATATGTGAAATGCCTCTACCAATGGTGTTCTACATATAAGGTAAGAGCTTCAGTTAGAGCTCAGTGAAGGACAAGCATACAAAAATGTCAGTTTGTGGAAATTCATTAAATATGCCACTGAGTGAACGTATATGGTATATGCCAATGGGTGAACATAAATATGCCACTGGATTAACATACACTTCTTAACTTCTTTTGTATCTTGCTCTTGAAATGAAAATCTACAATACTTTAAAAACTGCACTACATGTATACTATATTGCACCATGTTCACAATGTATTTTTTAATGTACCATGTTCATAATATGCATTTTTAAATGTACCATGTTCATGATAGATGCATTTTTAAATGTACCATGTTCATAATATGCATTTTTAAATGTACCATGTTCATAATAGATGCATTTTTAGATTCACTTACCAGATAAGGTGTCAAATCCAAGTGAAATGTCTTCCACCTTTCCATTCTTATCTGGTACAAGGATATCTGTGACTAAGGCACCATATGATAACACTCTTACAGTGACATTGTTCTTATTAGTCAGTGTGTACCTGCATAAAAATAAATCATATTATCATTATCAAGTTTAAATGCTCTTTCAACATGATGAAAGTGTTTTTATTTCATGAGGTGACTCCTCTCTATATGGTATTGAGCACTCATTAATCGCTTATTAATAACTTGAGCAGAACACTATAACAAGATGGAGAAGTTATGAGCAAGTGTGCCAGATTACAAAAAATCCTTTTCTTTTTAGTTACATGTGTCAGTGCATTTACCCTGGCACAGAAATATCATCCTGAATGCCTTATACGCAGCATAGTTTGCCTTTGTTTTTACAACCTGCTGGTACTGGTTTGGGGCACCCATGCATGCATGTATTGCATGCATTGGTGTGACTTGCACCATTACAAAAATCCATAAAATTAGGGATTGATCACACATTTAAGCAATGAATGTAACTGCGTGGGTAAAATACGATGGAGCCCTAAGATGATGATAGAGCTGTGGCAGGATTACAATGTCATTGATGAAATGCAGAACTTTTTCTTTCTTTTCGGCACAAGTTTTTCTACTTTAATATATTAACATATGTATTGTGTAAATGAAAATGAAATAAATTGGCTATAAAAGCCCCAAAAAAATTCACCAATATCGCGGTTGTTAGAGCATTTATCTGTGCTTGTTTGCAACCGAAGCTTTGTTAGTTTGCATGGAGAAACTTTGGAATCCAGATTCAACTTAAGTCCTGGCACAGGATAAGATCTTGCCCTTTGTTTTATGAAAGATGATCTAGACCTTCATGTATTTACAGGGTGGTCAAAAAATGGAAACCCTGCATTTTCCTCATATCTTTGTCATTTTCCTTCATTCAATTTCCTACCAGCCTACCATATTTCATGACCATCAGATTGATAGTCACAATGTTACTGCCCTTTGAACAAGATGCCACCATCACACTGTTGGCAAACCTGAACAGGTTGTCAATGATCTGACATTTCTCAGCAGGTATGACCTGAATGACATGGGTGGTCTCCTTTTTTAGGTCTGCAGTTGTCCTGAGGTCATTCTCGCACACCTTTTTCGGTGTACAGTATCACCACAGGTTGAAGTTAAGGTACAGCTGGAAAGTAACATTTTGGTAAAAAATTGCTATACCAGCACATGTTATTTTCTGGTACAAAATAAAGTATGAAGACATGTGTCAATTGCCTTGCTTTTTTCAGGAAAGTATCATTACATTGTCTTCTTTTAGAATATCTGGTAGGAGTTCAATGGGAACTCCAGGAAATTCTGATATTTCACACTTTCTATTTTTCCAAATTTTCTTTCAAAGTTTCCAGACAACACAGGAGCTACCATTGACCTGTGTCCAGGTTTACTAAAAGTAGACAGTGTAATGATACTTTCCTGAAAAAAGCAAGGAAATACACACATGCTTTCATACTTAATTTTGTACCAGAAAATAACATGTGCAGGTATAGCAATTTTTTTACCAAAATGTTACTTTCCAGCTGAACCTTAAGGTCAGGGTGCATGATGGGAAATTTTCTGCATTCCTCAATTGAGTCACATGTTATTTTTCAAACAAGAATCACTCCTTCCCTTCATTGTCTATATCTTCCAGTTTTGCACAAAGAGTGCACTTATGTGCCTAGAAAAGACTTGTGAAAGAAATCAGAAAATTTTCAGAAATTTTTTTCACTGAATTTTCTCATTTTTATACATTTTACAAAACAAACCTTCTCACAAGGCTTTTCTAGGCACAAAAGTGCATTCTTTGTGCAAACTTGGAAGATGTAGACAATGTGGGGAAGGAGTTATTCATGTTTGAAAAATAACATGTGACTCAATTGAGGAATGCAGAAAATTTCCCAACATGCACCCTGTCCTTACAGTTGGGGACAAAAATAAATGACAGGTCGATTTTCGATCACCATTTCCTAATTATGGTGGTCTGAAAGCCCATAATTTCCAATATTGTCTAGATATATATCCCTTAAAATTTGTATATTTTACATTTTGTATAATCTCATCCACTGATGTATGGCCTCTTGTAAATTCTCTTATTTTTAACATGGGAAATCCTCACTTCAGCAAATCCACCTGTCATTTATTTATGTCCCCAACTGTAAATAGGGACATTTGGATGATGGGTGCAGGTTTGCCGAAAATGAACATTGGCAAAAAATTGAATGATGTACAAATGTGCCAAATATCAGGGAGTAATTTCCTAAAATGACAAGGATATGAGGAAAATGGTGACAGGGTTTCCATTTTTTTGACCACTCTGTACATGTAGATTATTTAAGGTACAGCTGGAAAGTAACATTTTGGTAAAAAATTGCTATACCTGCACATGTTATTTTCTGGTACAAAATAAAGTATGAAGGCATGTGTCAATTTCCTTACTTTTTTCAGGAAAGTATCATTACATTGTCTTCTTTTAGAATATCTTGTAGGGGTTCAATGGGAACTCCAGGAAATTCTGATATTTCACACTTTCTATTTTTCCAAATTTTCTTTCAAAGTTTCCAGACAAAATAGGAGCTACCATTGACCTGTTTCTAGATATTCTACAAGTAAACAGTGTAATGATACTTTCCTGAAAAAAGCAAGGAAATACACACACAACTTCATACTTAATTTTGTACCAGAAAATAACATGTGCAGGTATAGCAATTTTTTACCAAAATGTTACTTTCCAGCTGAACCTTAAAATTATTAAAATGACAATTTCCTTAAAAAATAAAAAACATTGACTACCTCTCAACAATACCCCCATCTTTAGTCGTCCCATACGTTTCTTTTAAGACAGGCATTGCGTTTCCAATGTTCAGTTTGCAGACTTTATCAGGATGACTTTTTTGTTGACATCCACGTTGACACGCCTTTCTTTGACATTAGGTCAAGGTCAAATAGCGCCATCTATAGATTACAAGGTGCGAAATCCAAGATGGCAGCCTACGACGGTCACGCTTCCAAAAGACAAAGAACCGACTTTGACGGACATGGAGTCCCTGCTGGCAATAGGGCGAGTATTCACAAGTTTTGCACCACTTTATCTTTCTCGACAGGCATTTGCATTCATGGTTTGTCTCGAATAATGTATAGAACGAGCGAAATAGATCCAGACGTCTTCATTTTTTGAATTTTTTTATTTGAAAATTATTGAAAATATTGAATTCAGTTCAGCTAGATTTAGAAATTCTTTTTAGAACTTTCTTAGTCCATTTCACTGATGAATTGACTCATTAAAACCTAAAAAACAAGAAATCAATCTTTTGCCTGTATGATTACAACATGAGAGAATTTTCTACCCCTCTTAGTCTTACGCATAAGATGCCTAATAGATTCCTTGCACGGACATCTAGAGCTAATACGTTCTTCGAACGGGAATGATATCAATAACAGGACTGGCATCCAGATCCAAGTATTTTTCAAGACCGCCGACTCTCGTTGGGCTATTTATCCCTATTGACTCAGTTGTTCATATAAATTTACGTACCTTAGATGCTTTGTAATCGACGTAGATAGAAAATATTGTTTCCTAAATTGTTCTGAAAAGCGATAATTATTACTAAATGTACTTTGAACAGGTCGACTGACAAAAAAGTCGGACTTCTGGCACAAGGTCAGGTGACCTATTCGGGAGGTCACGGGAGGTTACAAGAACTAAATTCAAATTTCCCAAACAATCATCATTGAACCAATCAACGTCGAGATAAAATTGATAATGTCACCGCCATTGGTCAAGGTCAGGTCAAAAGTCATCCATCTTGCCATTAGCCCAGCGGATTCTTACCAGTCGACAAAAAATGATGAAATCACGTTGAAAATAAAATACAGTATACACTTTAAAATTTAGGCTGATTGAATATGACAAGACTCCATTGAATACAGTTGTGCAATTTACAGTCACCAAGATGAGCTAATTTCGAAGAGATTCGGGAATTAAAAAAGGTAACTTCATTTTTTCATCCGGGTTTCCCAACTTCAAGAATTTGAAATCCCAGAATCTCCTTTCGCCAGAACATTCTCTCTGACTGTGATTCCTTGGTATTTTAGCATTCTTTTCATGTAGTTGAATCCACAATTATCTGGGTTTATCTGCAGAACAAAGAAATTTTCGTTTTTGATCGCAATATTTGCGTGTAATATTTATCTTATTTCAACCGTCAAATTTCTCCATATATTGGTACTTCCGTGCCAGTCAAACGGGGAATCCCCATTTAAATCCAACCGCCATCTTGAAAAGTGATGGAATCTCTCTCGATGAAAAAGAAAAATGTTCCCGTTCTGCCTATTAACCCAGATAATTATGGATTCAACTACACGAAAAGAATGCTAAAATACCCAGGAATCTATCAAAGCAGGTATCTTAAGTGTACGAGGCATAGAAAATTCTCCCATGTTGAAAGCGTACAGGCAGAAGATTGAGACGTTCTCAGGACTATTAGTCCTGGCACGGGAGAAGGGCCTGGGGGCCCATATTTAAAATCTGTTGTATTTTTGGCTCCTAAATAGCATGTCTAAACCAAGGACTGTGAGTCTCATACTGCTCCGTTTTCCTTCAGACTTGTTCTATTCAAGCAAAACAAAAAATGCCTTTCGGTCAGTGCATTGCTTTAGTGTACCGTTTTTAAGACTATATAACAGAATCATGTACCAACAACAGTAAGGCATGTTTTGCTTTGACTAGTTTGAAGAAAATAGTGGTGCAGTTTGAGACTTACAATCCTTCATTCTTAAACATCTGGTAGGTCTAATATTCAAATTAATGTTTTTTGTGTACAGTTGGACCCCCGTGAATACACCAGCTTACATTTTATTTCAAAAGTCTGAAATTTTAGGCATTGGCCATACACATAATTCTTAACCTCAATTGATTCTAATTAGGGCTGCCATCATTAGTCGGAACGTCGACTTGTCAGTCAAAATGCAAGTTCGACAACGAAGTCGACAAAATTCCCGTCATGTCGACAGCAAACGATATCAATACTTACTTGAAAATATCCAAATGGCCCCAATACATTTCAATACACATTTCAACGTGTTATGTGCGCGTATTCTGCGGAAATATTGTTCACATTCATTTCATTTTCAAAAAATAAATTCACCCGGAAGTTCCCTTCATGACTTCTCTTCTCTCTTGCGAGACGTTGTACGAGATTTCGCCCGAGCAGTCGAAATAAATCCCGGTCGAAACATTGCAGGTATTTGTCCCATTTTCGTCTATAATATTCTATTAACTTGGCATTTAGTAACAATATTAGGCAATTACATACCAATATGAATATAAGTTATATGAAGCTTTTCTTATATGAAGCTTGAAAAAACGAACCAACAACACAGAAATAATTTTTCTTTTTTTCCCGATGATTTTTTCTCCCTGGAAAGTTCGATTGTCGACAATATTTTCGACAGCAGAGTTCGACTGTCGACACTGACATTTGAGTTCGATGGCAGCCCTAATTCTAATATAATCACCTGAAATGTTCTTCAAAAGCCTGTATTTCAAAATTTCTATATTTTTCATAAACATGAGAGATTACCATTCTCAAGAAAAGAAATCATTGATGGCCATGTTGAAGAGAGACCAATTCCACATAGGCTACCGGAAACACGTTCCTGACTTAACACATTTTACCTTTCAATAAAATATTCTAGATATTCTTTTGGTTAAGAATCATGCAAGCTGATTGCAATTCAGCCCTTATCTTCAGTGTATGAATACTATACATTAGAACAGTGTGATCAGGCTTACTGTTGGCCTCGCATTAAATACATTTTGTTACATTTTTAGGACCGCTTTGATGACCCACACAAGCCCGATCCATCTCCAGTTGTACACGTGAGAGGTCTACCTGAAACTGCCATAGAAGCAGATATTGTTGAGGCATGCCAGTCGTTTGGACCAATCAGTTATGTTACAATGATGCCTAAGCGTCATCAAGCATTGATAGAGTTTGAAAATATGTTAGGTGCTGAGGCTTGTGTCAGCTATTCGCAGGTACTTATTTTGTTTCAAATACCCCCCATGGTTGATTCAACTAAATTTTAGCCTATTAAGAAATATATGCGGTCACAGCATTTTAAAAAGTTGACAAAGTAAAAAGCAACACTTTACCCCTTCTTTTTTGCAATTGACTCAGGCTCATAATGAAGCTAAATAAGTTTTGTTATTGTGTCATTTGTAGCACTCACAGATCTTCATTGCTGGCCAGCCATGTGGGTTCAACTTCTCCACCAGTCAGAAGATACAACGGCCTGAAGGGGGAGAGAGCAAGAGCACAAACAAGATCCTACTGTTCACTATCCTCAACCCACAGTACCCTATCTCTGTTGTAAGGAAAAATGAGAAATCTATAGGATAAACATGAAGATGGACAGAATCAGATCTTGCTAACATCATTCACAAATAATTGTTTCATTTACAAATGTTTTAGGCTCAGATCATTCCTTCTCTGAAAATCCTCGATGTTAATACACTGTACACCAGGGAAACTAGTTCAATATTTATGTGTTCATTTTTCTAAAATATCTTTTGCATTCAAGCTCCCATAATAAAATTGAGATCATTAAAATTGCATCAAAATTTCAAAACTATTAAAATCATCTTGAATATGAAGAGTTTAGTATTGCAAGAAGATGGGATTTCAGGATAAGTTTCTATTCCAGGATGTGATGCATACAATATGTAGTCCTAGTGGAGATGTCCAAAGGATCATTATATTCAAGAAGAATGGTGTACAAGCTATGGTGGAATTTGACACAATAGATTCAGCTTTAAGGGCCAAACAAGCTCTGAATGGAGCTGATATCTACTCTGGGTGTTGCACATTGAAGATTGAGTATGCCAAGGTAAGTTCTAAATATGCATGTTGCTTATCGTCTTGATTTTTGACATTTTTTATATTGAACTTTCTGGTTTGATGACTAATGGGAAATTGTAATGATTGTATCTGCTAGCCTCGCAAAGGTGTGCTGAACCATTCCACAAAAATGTTGTTTCTAAATCTTTGCAGGACCCCGCAGGGGGAATGCAAAGTTTAGGAAGCAACATCTGAGTGGAATGAAGCAGCCACAATGCATTGAGTTTTGGGCTTAAATTCTTTTTACACATTGCAAAATATTTTCTATAAAATCACCTCAATGATACAAAATCACTAAAAGAACATCTTCAATGAAACTTTTTGCAAGGGTCAAGTATTGGAAAAATCAATTTCAATCTCAATCGCTTAGCAACTGTACACAACAAATGCGTTATTGATATTTCACACACTGTTCATTATGTGAATACTCTGTATGGATTGGCTGAAATCAGACACACCTTGCCTAGCTATGTGTGAATTACTGTTTACATATTACTTGTAGCCTACTAAGCTAAATATCTACAAAAATGACAGTGAAAGCTGGGACTACACCAACCCTGGCCTGGGACCAGGTGGTCAAGGTACGTGTTTCTATCATTATCATTATTTCTTATTTATCATTATGATCACATCACAATATCTATGTCACATACAGCAAAATGAATTACATTTTGAATATCACCCTGTTATATTGACAAAATGAAATCTATTGGTTTGTTTGCTTGCAAAAGTTACTCCCTTCTTGAAAATGTAATTAATGCAATATTGGGAATATTGATGTGCCAATATGATGTGATTCATCATGAGCTAAAGGGTAACTTAATTTAAAGATCCAATCATATTTCTAAAGAAAATTTCTAAACTGCAGTGTGGTTTACATTTTGATAGCTTTTTATTTAGATTATTGTTTATATGTGTAAGATGACAAAATGAAAATACAGTATGCAATTACAGCACTCTTGTTCAAAACATTTCTCCCAAAAACATTCAACTAAAACATCAAATGTGGAAATACTGCTGTTTTAATTGCAAGCATGAAACATCTTCTTCTAAAACACTACTTTTATATTTTACAATACAACTACTCCAGATCAAATAAACTAAGCTCTCTTACATTAAATTACTGAACTGCTAAAATACAACATGGCACAACTCTTTTACATGTACTTAGTGAAGTTGCATATCTGCTTAAAGTATGTTGCTCTCAGTAACTTGATTGTTATACATCTCTTCATTTCACCTCCTCAATTTTTTCTTTGACAAAAAATAGTTAAAAACAAGCCTAATTAATCTTCTAAACTTTTCTTTTCAAAACTTTAAACAGTCGTTCAGAATGGATTAATACTAGTCTATCAATTTGTAACACAACTTAGTAAGGTGGTTTCAATATGAAACAATCTTGGTAGGGGGCTTTGTGGTGATTTGAGAAGTATAGTTCTTTCTATGTTTTAGATTGACTTTATACTCTGGCCTGCCCTGCCTATTCTATCAGTCTACAAGAATATTACTAGACATTTGGTAATCAAGTTTTGCACTGAGTTAGACATATGGGGAATTAACACTCCTATGCTATACTATCTTGTCCATCTCACCATTGTTGTATGCACCTTGATTTTTAATATGCCTTTTTCATGTATTATTTAAAACAAGTAAAACATCTTTAAGGAAAAAACAGTCATCATTGATAGTACAGGAAGCTGCAACATCAGAAAAATTGTCAAAATGGTAAACTAATCATAATGTCTAAAATGCCAAGGTGCATTAATGTACATGAAATTACATGTAATTGGGTAGAACCCAAATGCTTACTGTTACATTGTATGATGGTCACAGCGAGTAGCTTTTCCATTTGCTACATTAATTTGTGTCATATCAAATCCTTATATTATCAGACATAGCACACATACATGCTAACTGAAGTGAGGGTTTGGATATAAATCTCTGCTACTACCCATGTTTGTGCCATGTTTCTTCTTGTACTTTCATACATTCTCTGCTCTAGTATTTCAGGTACTCTATAATGGTTTTATAATGGCTTCATAAATGTTACCTCTACACAGGTCTTAAACTAAGAATCATGACAAACCTAATGTAAGGGCAAAATTAAAACTGGATTCAATATGTTGGATACAAGACACAAGATATACTCCTGACTAAGGACACAATTAGTGGACACACCTACCCACGACACAAGTTGAAGTGCTCACATAATAATCATACGGCTGTTGAAGCTTGTTATATAAAACATGGCTACATTGAAACAGCATACACAAAAAATGGCCGCCAAGCTCTCTGAAATATACATAATATGGCTGTTGAAGCATTGCACATAACACAAATGGCTGTTGAAGCAAATAAAACTATGAATATGCAATTACATGCAGTAAGATGGAAGAGAGCAGTGGTTCATTTTCAAGCAAATCTTGCTTGTTGACTGTAACAAAAAACATTTCCTGAAAAAGCATGAGTGACAAAGGTAAAAAATCAGGACAGATTATTTAGGGGATAGAATGGGGTAAACAAAAATAACACAAGTATGCTATAAATGATGGGACCCCTATAATCCAAATAAACCTGAACACTAATACTGATTATGAACACTTATACTGATTTATGCACAAAGATTTAGAATAACCACTCTAGCTTGATCCTAAGCTGAGCCTGACGATAGAGACAGCCAAGCTAACACTACCCAAATCTCTGTCCCACCTCATCAATCCATGAACAGTCATATATCTGCAGCAAAGCATTTGATGTCTATTAACTATGAAAAAACACCAAAGACCCAAACACAGCAAAAATACACAAGCAAGCTGCATGTCTGATGTACTACAATCCTCAAGATCAAGAACAGACATATAGATGACAAACTCCAAAGGTCTTTTCACAATCCAGATGAGTTACACAATACACTATACACAGATTAAGTAAGGATCGACAGGCATACTTCAGGTATCGTAATCATCCTTTTACATGCACAACTTGATGTGCAAGTAAGATGATGAAATCGAAATATACATGTTTTATCCACAATACCTCAAGGAGGTTATTAGCTCCAGGTCCATGTACATGTATTCTCATTTTATTATGCCGATTCTGCACGTTCTTTACCCAGAAAAAGTGTCGCAAAAGCAAATCAAATTGTTCTTTCAATACTGTGGACCGTTTTAAATACTTTTATGAAATATGATTGATATTAGTATGACATTTTCAGTTACATTCATAACATGGTGTGCACAAACACTGTGTGTAAAATTACATGATGTTCATAAACACTGGACACTTTTTATATGGTGTACATAAACACTGACCATTTATTTGCAAAGTGTACTGGAAATAGTCACTGGACATTTATTTAAATGATGTAGTCATAAACACTAGACATTTATTTATATGGTATACATAAACACTAGACACTCATTAATATGGTATACAGAAAGACTGGATACTTATTTATATGATGTACATAAACACCGAACATTTATTTAAATGGTATACATAAATATCAGACATTTATTTACATGGTATACATAAACACTGTACATGTACATTTATTTACATGATGTACATAACCACTGAACATTTATTTGCATAGTGTACTGAAGATCAACACTGGACAGGTGTTTTGAATTGTCATTGTTCATTTATTTACACAATGTAAATTTACATATCATTTCATCATACTGGATATGATACAGTAATCTTTTATATACATATTTTTATATACGTTCACACTCAGGTTATATTCATATGATGTACATTGACACTTATTCTGTATAATTATAGTTACTTACAAATCAAAATTAAAAACTATGCATGCCTGAACATGGATTATGAATTATGCATATGGAATACACATGAATTATGGGTATTTTAAGTTCATATTCATTATTTACACTCATGTTATATTCATAAGATATATATTGCCACTAATTCTGTATAGTTATACTTACAAGCAAAATTAAATTATATACATATTTATTATTTACACTCATGTTATATTCATAAATCATGTACATTAACACTTATTCTGTACAATTACACTTACAATCAACATTATAAACCATGCATACTTAATATAATGTACGTAAAAAACAACAAACTGACATAAAACAAAACTCAATCGCACATTCTCCTATGTGTTTGTTGATTTTTACACAGGGGGCTGATGTCTCCTGTATACCGGAATGGAAATTACTGCCTCAAGATCATGTAAATGCAGGCTTTCTCATGGAGAATCCATAATGAGGCCTCCAAGGGAGTATTTCTTCACTCACTGAGATGGTTTGTACTGTAATGTTTTAATAGTAAACTTCATGTGAGCCCGCTGTTGCTGTATTTCTGATTTTTGTATTATTTTTTGATGCAGTCATATGTGTGGTAGCAATATGTGTACATTATACAGTAAAACCTTTAACCAGCTGTGTTCATATGAAATAACTCTGATGAGTACATCACATGTTAGAAGTAGTTTAGTTTATGTTCATTTTGAAAATAAATGATGTTGTGAAAACATGAAGATTTGAACCTGTTTCTATAGTCATTAAAATAGTTGCAGCATCTATTTAAACTCCTTGTGAAAAGCAAAAAAAATATTATTAGCACATTTAATTGTTAACATGTAAGCATGTTGGTATGTATTTACAGAAATTTAACTAGTTTTACATGTGTATTCACTTTGTATTTTCTCTTGCAGAAAAGAAGAATGCCCCTCTCTTGAAGGACCCTACATATGGATCTGGTCCTGTTCCTTTCAGTGAGTCAAAGTGATAATTTTGAAGTATATGCCTTGGAGAAAACATTTTTTATTTACTCTCCACCTCTTCTGCTTACCCCTGGCTATTAGAACACAGTGATAGTCGGGACAGAAACAAGAGGGAAAGAAATGTCATTCTCTACTTATATTCTAGCATACAATTTGTGTATTAGATGGTAGGGTGTGACTACATGCTACCAAGAATTTCATATTATTGAATATGTACTCGATCTCGGAGTTTCAATCAATCGAATATTCTAAGTCCCTATACACGGCAAGAACTAAATGTATCTTGCTCTCTATATATAAAACATCAAGAATATTGCTTCCTGAAGAATATTGCTTCCTGAAGAATATTGTTTTCTGAAGAATATTCTATACTGTGTTTGTAATGTTTTTCAGATGAGAATGATGGAGGGTATGACAGTCCTAGAGGGCCACCCGGACCACCAGGTAGTAAAAATATTTTCAGATTCTATGGATATAACGGGTGTTCAAACTTTGGAATTAGACTCCCATTTATGTTTCTATTCTTTTAGCCAAATTTGACCCCATGTTACTTTTAACTTAGAAATGTTCAGACTTAGCATACAGAATTTGTGATACACTATTACATTCATTTTACCAAGAAAAGCCATAAAACACATAAACTTTTATTTGAATAACCTCTTCAGCTTACCCCTGACTGTTAGAACAAAGTGATAGTCGGGACAGAAACAAGAGGGAAAGAAATGTCATTAGCTACCAATATTCTAATGAACGCTATGTTTAATAGATGGTAGTGTGTGTCTACAATATGAAGTAATAAAACCATAACTTTACAAGATAGTGGCTCAGTTGAGTTATATATTATATGAAAAAAAGTAAACATACAAGCGTTTTGTAAGATTCCCTATATTTATACAGTAGGAAATGGACGTGCTCCAGCTCCCATGTCCCCAAGGGATCGTGGGTATGGAGGGCCTCCAGCCCCAGCCTATGGAGATTCCTGGGGTAGAGAGCATAGCCATAGAGATCATGACAGGGGTGATGGATATGGGCGTGGTCCTGCCCCATCCTCAGGATATGGACCCCCTCCAAGTGATTACTATGGACCACCTGTAAGTTGATTTATAGTACAGTATATCACCATGAAGCCTTGATTCATATTGTGTATGGTTTTTCCTCACATTATAGATGCTGTGTGTTATTTTTTGTAAAATTCATGTTTATTCATTTTAAAATATTACATGAAAAAATACTCACAAGAGACATCTTATATTATACAGACACAAAATAAAATAAAAAAAGAACCGATCTGTATTTTTGTTAAGTGAAAAAATCACATTTATGTGTATTTTATATGCATGTGATGCATCATGTGTGGCATATATATTTAAGTTGGATCTTTGAATCTCATGAATATGTCATCATTATTACTCATCTTGAACTTCATATTTTTTCAAAATAATTTTGACCTGCAAGGTGATGTTCTAATGACATGTGTTAATGAAAATTAAAAATAACCTCTTCTGCTTACCCCTGGCTGTTAGAACACAGTGATAGTCGGGACAGAAACAAGAGGGAAAGAAATGTCATTCTCTACCAATATTCTAGTGAACAATATGTTTAATAGATGGTTGTGTGCGACTACATGATGTCAGGATTTTCGATGGAGGAACAGCACCTCATTCTTGCCTCTTCTTTTCCTCACTCTAATAGATACATTTTTGCCTAAATCTATTCTGAAAAAATAGCTATGAATGTCTAGATTTAGACATCATGTAAGTGCACACATGTTCTGGTTTCCAAAAACATATAGAACTTTAGAAAGAGCCTGGTGAGCACCCTTAACTCACAATATAAATTTAATGAGATCTAAAATTCTTGACGATGATAAATTTGTGTATGATATTCTATATGATGTTTTCTAGAGAGGAAGTGGATATGGACCACCTCCCCATAGACCAGACTACAACCAACAAGACAGATTTGGAGGTCCCCCTAATCGCTATGATGGACACGTTCTGGCAACTCCCTCAGCAGCTCCACCTAGTGGTCAACAAGGATCAGTATTGATGTTGTATGGACTTCATAAATCATTGAATTGTGACAAGATCTTCAACCTGTTCTGTCTCTATGGAAACATTGTCAGGGTGAGTGTTTAATATCTTGGGTATCATTGCCAGGATAATTGATTGGTCTCTATGACATCTTATCACTGGTTGATTTTTCAACTGGTGTTAAAATATCTAGTTGATATTGATATATTGTCTTCTCTTTAAGGTAAAGTTTCTGAAGTCTAAGGAGGGTGTTGGAATGATACAGATGGGTGACTATGCTTCTTGTGAGAGAGCCACTGCCAATCTCTCTAACTCTGTTTTCTATGAGTCAAAGCTCTCTCTAGCGTAAGTAGATATACCTAATAGCATACTTACATTACATATCAAGATAATTTTTATTTTCTTCACCTTTTCTTCTCACCCCTTATAACCAAGGACAGAAATAAGAGGGAAAGAAATGTCATTCTTTACCAATCTTTTAGTGTTTACATGTACAATGCTCAACAGATGCCATGGTGTGACTGAAATGTTGGTGTTCCATTTTGAAATCTAAATTTTATAAATTTAAACTATCCTTACTGTAGCTACATGTATAACATGTTGAGTGAATCTCTTTGTGGCAACTTTTTTACTATAAAGTTGGTAAAATAAGTAATTTTCCCAATTTCAGACCTTCCAAACAAGCATTCTTACAAGATGTCCCTCACCCACACAAACTAGAGGATGACCAACCCTCATTCAAGGACTTCATGGGTAACCGTAACAACAGATTCTCAACACCAGAGATGGCCCAGAAGAATCGAATAGAGCCCCCCTCCAAGGTGCTTCACTTCTATAATGCACCACCAAAGGTCACTGAGGAGGAATTGAGAGAGGTGAGCCAACGGATCATAACTTGAATGTCGTAAAATGCGCCATCAGGTTCATTGCATTTATTGACTAGGTACAATTGACGACAAATAGTGTCCCCAAAGCAGTCACTGAAGCATTAAATTTTTCACATCGTTGAACGTATTGACCGCCAAGCACAGTTGGTTTATATCCATATTGACTGTGAACTTCCAGTGCACCTTTAACCCATTGATGTAAAGTGAATCGATCTATAAAAATTATATTAATTTCAGTCATAATAGTTATATTTACATGAAATTAATTATACAACTCAGTGATGATAAACATGCTTGACTATCTCATCTCTACACCTCTCCTCTACCCACCCCTGGTTGTTAATAGAACATAGATAGAAAAAATTCTAAAGTCTAATACTTGAATGGCTTTTATTGTGTCAGAATCAAACAAATATAACAGAATATTATATGATGTTACTGTTCAGTTAAATGTATGTTTTTGCAGATCTTTGTAAAAGCAGGATGCAAGCCATTTAATCACTGCAAACTATTCCCATCTAAAAGTAAGTACTCTAAATGATTCAAAATAAATTGATTTTATCTGTTTAAAATGTTGCAATTGATCAAAGTCATGGGTTTTGAATACATACTACTTGGTTTTTCTGATTGCTTTGTTTGTAAATTGCTCTTATTATCTGATGAAGAATCAGATTTCAGATTGTCGAATAATAAAGCCTATTGATTTGCCAACATGAAATGTGTTTCTTGTATTATAGGTGAGAGGAGTGCTACAGGTCTCTTGGAATGGGAGAGTAAGGGAGATGCTATTGAGGCTATCATCTGTGCAAACCATTTCAATGTTGACAACCCAAGTAAGTCCTCATTAGATTTTCCATGAGAGATGCTGTTTTTATGTCACCACCAAAAGTGGTGACATATTGTTATGGTCTCCGTTTTTTTGCGACGGCGGTTGGAGGTTGGCATCCGGCGTCTGTAACAATTTCTTACAACTTCCTATAACTTAACAAATACTGTTTAGACTGACTTCAATTTGTTTCTAAATCATCTACATGTTCTCAGAAGTTCAAATCTGACTTTAGATTTGACATTTGACCTTCAATGACCTTCTCAAGGTCAAAAAGGTCTTTTTTCAACTTGCTTCACATTGACTAATTTTTTTTTTCAAAATCATCTACATGTTCTCAGAAATTCAAATCTGACTTTAGATTTGACATTTGACCTTCAAATCTGACTTTAGATTTGACATTTGACCTTCAATGACCTTCTTAAGCTCAAAAGAGGTCAAAAAGGTCTGTTTTCAACTTGCTTCAAATTGACTAAATTTTTTTTCAAAATCATCTACGTGTTCTCAGAAATTCAAATCTGACTTAGTATTTGACTTAAGATCTGACATTTGACCTTCAATGACCTTCTCTAGGTCAAAAAAGGTCAAAAAGGTCTGTTTTCAACTTGCTTCAAATTGACTAAAAAAAATTTTCAAAATCATCTACGTGTTCTCAGAAATTCAAAACTGACTTTAGATTTGACATTTGACCTTCAAATCTGACTTTAGATTTGACATTTGACCTTCAATGACCTTCTCAAGGTCAAAAGAGGTCAAAAAGGTCTGTTTTCAACTTGCTTCAAATTAGCTAAATTTTTTTTTCAAAATCATCTACGTGTTCTCAGAAATTCAAATCTGACTTTAGATTCGACTTAAGATTTGACCTTCAATGACCTTCTCAAAGTCAAAAAAGGTCAAAAAGGTCTTTTTTCAACTTGCTTCAAATTGACTAAATTTTTTTTTCAAAATCATCTACGTGTTCTCAGAAATTCAAATCTGACTTTAAATTTGACATTTGACCTTCAATGACCTTCTCAATGTCAAAAAAGGTCAAAAAGGTATTTTTTCATCTTGCTTCAAATTGACTAAATTTTTTTTTCAAAATCATCTACATGTTCTCAGAAATTCAAATATGACTTTAGATTTGACTTTAGATTTGACATTTGACCTTCAATGACCTTCTCAAGGTCAAAAAGGTCTTTTTTCAACTTGCTTCAAATTGACTAATTTTTTTTTTCAAAATCATCTACATGTTCTCAGAAATTCAAATCTGACTTTAGATTTGACATTTGACCTTTAATGACCTTCTCAAGGTCAAAAAAGGTCAAAAAGGTCTGTTTTCAACTTGCTTCAAATTGACCAATTTTTTTTTTCAAAATAATCTACATCTTTTCAGAAGTTCAAATTTGACTTTACAAGTTCTCAGAAGTTCAAATCTGACTTTAGATTTGACCTTTGACCTTCAATGACCTTCTCAAGGTCAAAAAGGTCTTTTTTCAACTTGCTTCAGATTGACTAATTTTTTTTTCAAAATCATCTACATGTTCTCAGAAGTTCAAATCTGACTTTAGATTTGACATTTGACCTTCAATGACCTTTTCAAGGTCAAAAAAGTCTTTTTTCAACTTGCTTCAAATTTACTTAATTTTTTTTCAAAATCATCTACATGTTCTCAGAAGTTCAAATCTGACTTTACATTTGACATTTGACCTTCAATGACCTTCTCAATGTCAAAAAAAGTCAAAGAGGTATTTTTTCAACTTGCTTTAAATTGACCAAATTGTTTTAGGTGGTGACATTTTGTCATGTTAATGCCTTGTATTATTTTGTCACCATTAAAGTGCTGATGTATTGTCAGTTGTGGTTTCCACTTTTTGTTTGTGTATGGCATTGTATGATGAATCATTTTCTGTACTATTGAATTTGGAAACCATCGCATCATTACCATGCCAAGACATCATTTACAAAAACGCTTGTAGAATTTTTAGTATTCAGTGTCAACACCAAAAGTGATTGGAAAGACTCATATAGTGAATATCTATACACATATAATGAATGCCTACATATTTTAACCAGCTATCTCTGTTACCATAGCAATTTTGACATTTTTTGTAATATATGTTATGGTGGTATCAAAATGTAACAGTTTTCTTGTATTGCAGATGGCCAGCATCCCTTCATCTTTAAACTGTGTTTCTCCTCATCTGCTATCATCAGTCGACGTGAACGTCAAATGTAACTTGCGTCATGAACAATACGTGTCAGTTGTATACATCTACCATCATCAGTCAACGCAAACGTCAAATGTAACTTGCATCATGAACAATAGGTGTCAATTGTATACATCTGCTATCATCAGTCGATGAGAACGTCAAATGTAGTTTGCATCATGAACAATAGGTGTCACTTGTATACATCTGCTATCATCAGTCGACGTGAATGTCAAATGTAACTTGCGTTATGAACAATAGGTGTCAATTATATACATCTACCATCATCAGTTGACGTGAATGTCAAATGTAACTTGCGTTATGAACAATAGGTGTCAATTATATACATCTGCTATCATCAGTCGACGTGAACGTCAAATCTAACTTGCATCATGAATATTAGGTGTCAGTTGTATACATCTACCATATCAGTTGACGTGAACGTCAAATGTAACTTGCATCATGAACAATAGGTGTCAGTTATATACATCTGCTATCAACAGTCGACGTGAATGTCAAATGTAACTTGCATCATGAACAATAGGTGTCAGTTGTATACATCTGCTATCATCAGTCAACTTGAACGTCAAATATAACTTGCGTCATGAACAATAGGTGTCAGTTATATACATCTGCTATCATCAGCTGACGTGACATCAAATGTAACTTGCATCATGAACAATAGGTGTCAATTGTATACATCTACCATCATCAGTCAACGTGAATGTCAAATGTAACTTGCGTTATGAACAATAGGTGTCAGTTGTATACATCTACCATCATCAGTCAACGTGAATGTCAAATGTAACTTGCATCATGAACAATAGGTGTCAGTTATATACATCTGCTATCATCAGTCGACGTGAACGTCAAATGTAACTTGCATCATGAACAATAGGTGTCAGTTGTATACATCTGCGATCATCAGTCGACTTGAACGTCAAATGTAACTTACGTCATGAACAATATGTGTCAGTTGTATACATCTGCGATCATCAGTCGACATAACGTCAAATGTAAATTGCATCATGAACAATAGGTGTCACTTGTATATATCCGCTATCATCAGTCGACGTGAACGTCAAATGTAACTCACATCATGAACAATAGGTGACATCAGTATACATCTATCATGTAATTTACATCCTGACCATTTAAAAGAGGTATGCAGTTTGACATCAGCAGCTCTAGGTGTCGTTCATGTTGAGTATTAGGAATAGATCATAACAAGACTTAATGCAACAATTTTAGTTAATATAATAACTGAGTTAAAAATGTGTCCTTGTATTACGATAAATGTTTAACTCAATGTTGTAATTAAATGAAAAATCAAAAGTAACAGGACAAATGAATTTGATAGTGTACCCACATAATTAATGTAAGTGAATTTGAAAGGGTTTCTACTATGCATGAATAGGACCATGTAAAAAATATTTATCTCGCCGAACTTCACCGTACATTAGGGATATAGAAAGTGATTTGATATAACATGTATTTTGTCCGGTGAGATTTTCATCTCGTGGAGAGTCCCTGTAGTTTAGTTTATAATAAAAACAAAGTGAAATGCCAAGATACATATTGACATATTTTTTGTTACTTTTTTGAATGAAGTTCATTTGGGATATAGAGAAGCTGTTCATCCGTCCATCAGTTCGTTAACAGACACCAGGGTTCTAAATGAAAATATACAGTTTTCAGGATAATATTTGAAGAAACAATTTTATAAACTTGCTAAGACCTCTGCTCCAGAGTGAGTTTAAAATATGGTGTAACGTCATGGTGTAGATTTTGCCAAAAGGAGACAATACTACACTCTAGATATTTCTGTCATGTTCTGTTCAGAATGATGAGTAATTTGGTATATTTTGTTCGGTGGGATTTGCTACTCCAGGGAGTCACTTTTCTATTACTGTTATATAGTCTTCAAGTTTTTTGTGGAAGGTGTTTGGCGTCTCTAACAAAAGGCAGGTGGTGACATTTTGTATGTTAATGCCTTGTTCTAGCTAGTTATGTTAACAGAAAGAATTGACTGTGCCCTGGCAAACGTGAACTTAATAAGCACCCCCGGGAGTTCATATTGATGGTTCGTTTGACTTTGCTTCTTAAAGTATGCTTCTTTGGAACAAGCCTCTACACTCGGATAATTGATTGATTGGATCAGAAATAAGAAATTACAGAAATACAAAATCATAAAGGTCCTTTTAAGCTTCTTAAAGCATTTCTCAACATCACTTTTGATCTTCTTTAAAATGGAATTGTTACAACTGTAATATTCATGAAAAATGCTTATTTTGAATTTACATGCACAGAGAGAGGTACATAAAAGGGGTTTTATAATATGGTATTTTTCCTTATGGCTATTCGAACAATAGTTTCTAGAAATTCTCTTTTGAATGTGTTCCTTGGTTTCTTTTGATAGAATTGCCTATAGACTTACTTGTGTTCGCTTTATTGTAATTAGTTAATTGCCCCGAGGTACTTCGGGGAAACATTGCTTCATTGATTTATGCATTTTCAACTCATGTTTTGTCATGGGAATATCCTCAATAGACTCCCCACAGGCAGCTTAATATAAATAATTGATTGTTTTGACCAAAACAGACAGAACAAGGATTAAGCTCGCTCACTCTAGTAGTACCTGTAATATTCAAAGTGACCTAGGATGAAGGGTGGACACATCAAATGTACTCGATTATAAAGATATTACTTAATAGTGCTTCATTTTAATGATAAACATATATGCAACATACAAAGCCCTATAAGACATGTGAAATATGACTATATCTCACCTTCCATAGATTACTTGCATAGTCATATGTATTATCTTGTCCATGCCAGATTTCAAACAAACATGTTCCACAAAGCTTAGGAGTACTTTCATCTTCGTCCACATATGCCTGTAAAATTCTTCTTGTCAAATGTCTAAACAAAGAAACTAATATCCAAGTATTGAAAGGATTCACAAAATAGTACAGAGATCTTTCAAAGGTTGACTTTCAAATATCGTATCCCATAATTGGTCAATGATTCTGTTTTCATGGTTTTTCATAGTGGGTGCAAATGGGTTTTCAGGTACGGTGTGTAAGCTTATTTTCCAAATCTCAAGTTGGCCACTTGCTCCAATGCTTGAGAGGTATTAAATCAAATCAAATAAAGCCAATCTTTTTACTTGAAAATATATCTTTTATTATTGAATCTAGTATGTGCACCATACATGCAGTTCATACAGGCCCGTGGCCAGCTATGCCAAGAGAGTTCACATTTGACAACATTGGCCCAAAATCACTTGTAAAGTATTCAAAATGGTGAAAAGATGAATACTTTTGAAAGACTTTTTGGCCAATGGTTGGTTTGCTCAACCCCCCCCCCCCCCGGTCTAAGGGCCTGCTTTACTACAACACTCCAGGAAACAAGACAAGCATAAGCATAAAAGGAACCTGTGAATATATTGCGCATATTATTTTTGAAAATATTTGCATGCTTGTTTCTAGCCATTTGTGAATAAAACACTTCACTTGCATGTTTTTTTCTATTTTTGATGAGTTTTATGAGTTTAAGTTCTTTTAGATCAGAAAATATGAAATATGCTTCTTAAAACATTTATATAACAATTTAACATCCTGAACATTTTAACTTTTATTTTGTCTACACTCAAAAAGATTCAGCCAAATGTAAACTATTAATTCCCTTTGAACTTAATCCATTGTAGAAATTGGATATTTTTCTAATATTCACGGGTGATAACCAGACCTCGTTACCTTTTGCATTCGTTCGACTTCACTTCTTAGAAGAGAGCTTCCTCTTCGTAGTTTATAACTTGACTCTGCGCGCAGGGTAAGACCTCGTCATACTAACTACCATTTTAGGTACCCTGCGCGCAGAGTTTAGTTTGAAACAAAGACAAAGCTCTCTTTTAAGAAGCAAAGTCAAACGACGAATGCAAAGGGTACATTGGGTTGACCTGATCGTAGCCAGCTAACTATGATACAGCTGAGCAAACTCACGGTATCATGAGGCCTGGCTAGTACCAATGTTTTTTTCCAATCTAGTATACAATTGTGATATTCGCAATGAATGGTACAATTGTGATATTCGCAATGAATGGTACAATTGTGATATTCGCAATGAATGGTACAATTGTGATATTCGCAATGAATGGTTTCAATATGGTACTTATATTCAATTTACATTGTACGATTATAGTCTTTAGGCCTATATCTGTAAAGAATATGTTTCAGTTTTAATTTGTATATTTGTCATATGGACGGATTACAACTAATACTTTCGTAAATGGACGGTTTTTAGCCTTCATATATGTATAAATAATGGATGATTATGTTTTACAAAATTCGTCCTCGTGGAATAATGAATAAATATTTGTGTCTTACGAGAATCATTTTAATCCCTTATCTTCAACAGAGTCCCAGAAAATACTCATAATCAAAGATCTCACTCTGGATTGTGTGTCTCTTTGAATATGGTTTATAGCCTTAAATAGGCTTTATAATGTCCATATATTCATATTCGATTAACTATGTTTCAACGGCGACTTGTGAATCGGCAGTCTTCATAGCCTCGCTTTCATTGTGCAAGAGTTGATCGGTTGACCCAGTGCTGATATGTGTCCTGCTTGATTGACGTTTAGCTACCTTCACAGGGGAAGCTTTATTCAGCAAGGTCAAAGTCTTATTTTTCAGTTCTAAATCATGTTCTTCCCGCATGATCAATTTGTACTCCTCTGAAAAATTAAAATTAAAAATGGATTACATGACAGTTCATATGACAGTATGGGTCATATTAAAAAAAACATGCAATATATATGGGTTAAGGGTCAGGTGGATGAGTGAAAACAAAATAATAAACGGTACAAGGTTGTTCACGCAACCATAGCAACAGTGATATACATGTAAATAATGTCATATGACACAACCAATGCAACATGCGATAGTGCAAATATATTAATCACAAACCATGCAAAAGGGTTATCATTTAGTTTTTAGTAAATTCAACATTGAATATCGGTATTAGTACAAATGGTAGTAACAAATGTATCAAATGGAAAAGAGAATGCAAAATATATCTAATATTTCCACAAAAGACAAGTAAAATACGAAACAAGTTACATCAATTCTCGTAGTCTATTGTGAACTTGTATGCAGAAATTGAGAACAAACACATTAACAAATAACAATAACAATAAATTAAAAACTAACTAAATATACTGTACTTCGATGTCATTTAACTTGAAAAAAACTTGAATTCGCAAATGCAACTTTCGGCTGTCGGCTACCGGATTAACCTACAGTTTTATGGACAACCCATTTAAATATGAATAGTAGTACCTGCCACCATACTGTTCATATTTAAAGGAGTTGTTCATGAAATAGTAAGTTAATCCGCTAACCGTTAGTTGCATTCGCGAATACAAGCTAAATTTGAGAAAACACTCCTGTACAGTTTTCTCAAATCTGATTCTAGTTAATTTTCTCACAAGAAACTACACATCATATATAAACATCATCAAATTTTAATTCAAAAGTTGAACATTCTTTGAATCAAGATTTGATGTTTGCTTGACTAAGTGAGGTTTACCATGCTTTGGTGAGGACCTGAGAACATACACTAGGGTGTAAAAAATATGGAGGGACGGACATTTCTGGCTCCCATGGCTCTGAGAACTGTCGCCTGTATGGCTTCATCTTCCTCTTGTTTCAGCAGACGCCTTTTTTCAACTACAACATAGTTTAACTAGAGGTCAAGGTTACACGCATAAGGTCACTACATAGTGTGCCCATCAGCACCATCTTTCCTCTATACAATATCTCTATTATTGATTAAGGGAATCAATGTTCTCTAGGTTATGTAACCCTACAATTTCTAATACAGGACAAAGGATCGATGGTACCGACTCAAGTAAACCTAACATCAATTAGTCGTTTTAGTGCTATGGAAATGCCATAAGTTAGTGATAGTCTTTAAGATGAAAATGTTGTTGAAGTCAATTTATAGTCAAGGTCAATTGCCTATATGCATATATGTTCTGCCGAGGTCGATTGCATATTTGTATTGGCAATGTCATTTGTATAAATGTAAATGTCAATTTCATTTATCAATTGTCAATGTCATTTGCATTCATGTTTTGTCAAGGTCATATTTATTCATATTTATTGTTATTTCATTGAATTACAAGATTCCTATATTGGTCAAAATTGTACTACTTGTTAGAATAGAGGACTAGGTAACGCTTCAAATGTGAAAGTTCGAGGAATTCATACAGTTTCAGAATGAATGCAAAGGATGATTATCGATATGGTGAACTTTTTGAACACACGTTTCTCTTAAACCAGTCAACCAAAAATTCTGAAAATTTTACACATTGTCAATTCAATGGTCATCTTTTGAATGGTAACAATATAATTTGAAGTAAATATAGATGCTTTTCTCTATATTGTTTTAGAAAACACATCAGACACTTCTTTTGTTCTTGGTATCATATGTTCGGAATGAAATGAAACATCTATCCGAACCTCATTGTAAAAACAACATAAACACAATGTGTTTAGGTTTCTCAATATTGTAAGTGTACAAAGGAAAGTTTGTTTGATTTGAAAAAGTATCTTGTTAATGAAATAAAAGATTTATCTTAATTTTTATCTATTTGGGGGTTTTTGTTTTAACTTTTTCAATACTTTTTGTTCAATCACCAAAATCTCCTTTGTATAACTATAATATTTAGATATAAGACATTTTATTTCATTCTCAACAATTGGTAAAAAGAAAAACAATTGCATTAAAAAAAAAAAAATTTAAACAAAAACGGTTATATAAAATATATATAGTATATAATTTATTTTCGCATTAAATTGTTGTCAATCAGTCAACAATATGCATGTACGAGGGTTGATCCAAAAGTTCTCCACCGTTTTATCTAAAAAGATAATTTCTTGGTGAATTTTTTTCAAACTTGGTCAGGAGCAACATATATATGATGGTTTAATAACGGACTTTTTTCTCAAGGTAAAAAGGTCAAAAAGATCTTTTTTCAACTTGCTTCAAAATGACCAATCTTTTTTCAAATCATCTACAATTCTCCGAAGTTCAAATCTAACTAAGATTGAACTAATGATATTGTGAGCAACCAGGTGGTGACAATTTGTCATGTTAAATGTTGTTGTATATTGTAATGGCACACTAAACCAATGATCAATTCTTAAAAGTATTTTCAAGATCAATCAATCAATCACAATGTTAATGGTCAATATGTTTTCTCTGAGTAAATTATTGGAATTTATAGGTCAATGATCAGCATTGTCTATGATAATGATCATGAGTCGATTGTCAGTTAGCATCAAGCCATTAATCAATGGTTAATTAACGTATATTATATATAAAAAGATACATTACGTTAGGGATGGGTGTAAAGTGAAACAGATTCAACAAAACAAGAGAACAATAACCCTCCGAACGCAGGGCTCCAGATAACATCCAAGTTTCTTACTTTTTCAATCTATCCTCATAGTGAAGAACGAGGTACGATGTCTGGAGGCTCGCATTCAGAGGATGAGTTGTTATGATCATAAGTAATAGACACGTGTCATACTCACATAAAATGCTATGATATGGCGTATAGAGAGTGCACGTCCATGGCAAAAGTAACCAGAATTTGTGTTTCTTTATAAGTTCTTAGTGAGAAAATTCTGGTTACTTGGTCAATGACCAATACATAGTTAGTGATGATGAAAGACCATTGTTTGTCAATACAATAGACTATTCTAATTCTGTTAATATTACGTGTAAAAGGAAATGGAAAATATTGATGAAACAATTGAGTTTGTCGGAAATCAAACAATAGGATGTTTCACAGGATTTAGTAAATATACTAAATATACCTATTGTGTACTTGAGGAGTGATAAGTCGCAAATGACGCAACATTTACAGATGGCTTATATGATTTACTATGAAAAGCCATTGTAATATTCATGTCATTGATCAGGTTGAAAGTCTCTTGACTCTAAAAGTCTACTCCAGTGGTAATAGGAAATCAAATGTGGAATCTTGAATTCTAGTCTTGCTTCAAGACCCTGGACCCCACACCTGTTGTTAAAGTAGATAAGGAAGGGGGGTCCAGATCTTGAAGCAAGACTATTTTTCCAATCTTGAGTTTGTTGCTAGTTGCGAAACTAAAAGATGCAGTATATAGCTAATCTGATGTATAGCTAATCTGTCGCCTATCTATTCTCAAAATTCACTCTCTGAGAAGGCGAGTCACTTTGACAAGACTCCCACAAACGTTTACTACATCATTTGAATTGACCCGCCCTCAGTAGGATTTATGGAATTTCATTCATTATTGTTCACTTTTGTGCTTTTTATGAATAAATTTCTAAAGCAGCGTATGTCCGTTTCACATTTCTGGAATTCGCATCCACGAATATTTATGAGATTAGTCTTGATTGAAACACTCATTTTCATAAATAACACTGCTTAAATTCTATTCATTATATTGTGTAAACATGAAACCTTTCATTGAGAATCGCCAAAGTAATATTGTATTGATTTGCGTTTATTTATGATTACTACACGAATCTTACATTTGCTAAGTCATAAATCATTTAAAATAAGAATAGTTTGGTCTGTTTTGGGAAGAATTCTAAAAAAGGATATGGAGTATGACGTAGACTGCTCACACCCAAGCAAGGTTAGCAATTACAGCTGTTTCCCAAAATACCAGTTCATGGTCGACAGATATTAGATAAAATAACCTTTTAAAATCATTTCTATTGTAAAATACTTTCAGATCAATAAAATTGTTCTTACGTAAACGAACTTGGTGTAATATGCAATAATTTGATTTCCATTGAGGCCTATTTTGTAGTCATTGGCTACTGATCTAACAGAAATACTTGATATATTGAATTTCGGTTATAAAAAATCTTGTCAATAAATTGTGTTACCTTAATGCCAAACATTTATGGAGCTTGTAGTATATGGACTTGGGTGATCCTAGGATGAAACAAGGCATTAGTTACAAAATGTCCCCACCTAGTTGCTCACAATATTATTAGTTCAATCTTTTGAGAACTTTGATTTTGATTTTGAAAAAAGGTCAATTTAAAGCAAGTTGAAAAAAGACCTTTTTGACCTTGAGAAGGTCATTGAAGGTCAAATCTTTTTTGACCTTGAAAATGTCATTGAAGGTCAAGTCTATAGTCAGATTTGAACTTTTGAGAACTTGTATTTGAAGCAAGATGAAAATGTATCTTGTTGCCCTTTTTTCACCTCGAGAATGTCATTGAAGGTCAAATATCAAATCTAAAGTCAGATTTGAACTTCTGATAACTTGTAGATGAATTTTTAAAAAATCGGTGAATTTGGAGCAAGTTGAAAAAAGACCTTTTTGACCTTTGTTAACCTTTCAAATCTTAAATATAATTTGAACTTCTGAAAACGTGTAAATGATATTAAAAAAATTAAGTCTATCTAAATAGTATTTGTTATGTTATTGGGCGCTTTAAAAATTTGTTACAGACGACAACCACCAACCACCACCGGCCGATCGCCAACCACCAACCGCCGATCTGCTTGATCCAGATGATATTTCTTAAGATCAATCTGAGGACAAAATGCTATATTGAGACCATATCACCTGAAGTTAAGAATAAGACATTTTATAAAAACGTTGGGCTCATTTTTGAAAATGAGGTCAAGAGCAATCTTAAGGTCCAAATGAAAATTCAACCTATTCAGATCAATGTAGTTACTTGCTTAGAATCTGCACTTCATAGAACAGCTTGTTCCAATGGAATCGAACTGAACAAATTTTCAAAGATACAATGCACACCGTGATTACCCTTTTGTTTATGTAACGCTATTCATATTCAGGATTTTATTGGCAAAGTGATCAATTTCAAGGAAGCTACTGCGGTTGAAGTATTAATATGCAGGTGAAACATCTATTTGCCAACTGCAGTTGTCAAAACGATGATAGGAACAAACACCTAATTTCAAGATCAAATACGAGCCCGGGGTTATAAAAACAGACTCAGACTTTGATTGTTAAATTTCCATGGACTTGATATTATCACCTATGTTATTTTAATAAGAGTGATATTTATACATGTAGGGACATAAACAAACGCATGTGTAGACGTAAATTACGCCTGTGTGGATGTTGACTACACATTGTCAATTTAATGGTCATCTTTTGTATGGTAACAAAAAAATAAAATATTTATCTTCTCTATTATATATCGTTTTTGAAAACACATCAGGAAAGTTTCCTAATCAGTACGCAATTTCTACAATGCAATCTTGCCAATTCAATCTCTTCTAAAGCACACGAAGGAATAACTAACAGTCAGAGTAACGACTTGTTGACATTCAAATGAAAGAAACACTCAGTTGATAAATTGCATGGAATCATTATAACAACCTATAAAACAAGCATGATCGTGATAAGATTACACGTCCAACAGAGATAAAGAAGGTATTTTCAGGGTGACTTATATTCTCCGAGCGCAAGGCTCAAAAACACATTTGCAAGTTTTCTGCTTAATCGCAACCTGAACCACGTATTCCGACGTTAGACAATCGTGGCCTTATTCATTAAACTATCGCAAGCCAATCCAGCGAAGTGGATGATTATGGCATCTGGTCATACCCTCAAATTGCCATTTTGCATTTCTGACACCCGATACTTCTTTCAGTTTTGCAACTAGCAAATTATTTGAAAATAAAAAAAAACGATCTCTTACATTTCTATTTTGCACGGAGTAGAATCAAACGGAGTTCGTTTGTTAAACTGTCCCCAGTTGAATTCTAGTCTTCAAAAAGAATTTTTGCAATTACTATTTATTTAATTCCACTTTGACCTAGGATGAAGAAAGTATGACCTGGGCCGAAGAGACGTTTCTTTATCCTAGGTATGACATATTCACGTTGAAATTGAGCATACATTACATCTATCGTGTGCAAGGGTAACTCTCCTCGTATTCGGTAAAATAAGTTCGGTACCCTTCGCACGGAGGATGTCAAATTTCTACTCACGTGCATGTATGACCATAAGGACTCCCCATGAGATGCTCCAAAGCCAACCAACCAACATAAACGATATAGTGAACAGCTGAGCAGTCCCCACCCAGAAGTTCGTGCATAAAGTTTCCGTGGACGTAGCAGTTTTATCAGCTGCCACAAGACGTTGACGTCCGCAGCAAAATGTACCAAATCCACTTAGAATAGTACCTGGAAAATAGTTTTTTAAATTGTAGTTTAGTGTGCGGATATAGAGTTTTACATAATATAACGTTTAGTACATCAAAAGCAGGAGGCAATTTCAAAAATATCTCATTTTGAGCATCTTGATTCACAAGGTTTCAATTGCTTCAACTTTTGTTATAACATTTTCAGAGAGTGGACCTCATTCATTAACTAGTCCTGGAATTTCCGAAATAGCCAATGCATACATTTCTATTTCGTCATTACCAAGGTCTATTCTTCCGTAGGATTACATTGACTTTGACCATAGCATCATCTGTTGACCAACTCAAAAGACCAAGACATAAAAAGAGGGATCGTGCTTATGTTTAGGCTCCACTGCAAGCTTACTATCTAGGTTTAACTAGCCAAGTCGCCTTTCTTGTTCAAGTCCTTGTGGCCCTGCTCAACATTAATTCCACTTTCAGGTTGAGTTGATATAGTTCACAGACTTAACGCAAGACTTCCGCGTTTGTTGATTATGATTATAAGATGTTCTCTGTGCTTTACAATGTAATCTTCACAATGATATTTCCATATGGACCGATTGTACTCGTTCTCATACTTTAATCAGAATAAACGATCAGATTCAATTTAATTTTGCCATAAATGAACTCATCGTTTATCCCTGTGGAAATCAATACTGATGATAAATTTTTAATCAAGACAACCCATTCTGAGCATCTCAACAAATAACGAGGCTTTTGTTTATTCAATCATAACAGACTTGAATGTATGATGTCCATGGCTTTTTTCAATCGAGTCCGATTGTACTTCACCGACATCATACAATACCGTCTCATATTCCTTCATAGTTATAAGGAGTACTTTTAATATAGAACGTACTTAAACGAAGAATAAATTAATATTATCATCTTTTGGAACGGGAACACAGGATTTCCCTGACATATTTCCGTCTATTTACTAAGTATTGCAATAGTATATATTGCTTATCATACCGTGTAAGTCTTAATACCGTGTAATCTGCCATTGTCCATTGTAAAAAGTTTATTTCTTTATCAACGTTCCAATTTTTTGTTGGCGAACAGTAATTCAAAGTCAAATGAAAAAGGTTCCTTTAGGTCTAGCTACAAGAATTACTGTTGGTCCAATTAATCATTTTCTTCATCCTGAATTAAAATGTTGCCCGATGACACGATTTCCTTTACTTACACCTCTGTAAGTGGAACACCTCACAAGTGGAACATTTTTTGTGGTCCTAAAGGCGTTCCACTAACGCGGGTTCTACTGTAATTAATTATTTGGGACGGCCTAGTATCTTACCTGTTCCTGGGAGGAGTATGTTAAGAACAAGACATATAATCGCAAACCATAGTGGGAGATAAGGAATGGCGTTCCGTATGTAACTGTCATTAGTTTGCGCTACTTGTTTCCGTTTATTTTCCTCCACGTCATCGGGATGAACGACTTTAGCGTTTTGTAGTTTATTCAGATCTATAGATGTCCGTGAAGCGAGAGATAATTTTGACGATACACTGAGTCTACTTGCAGATCGTGCTATTGCGGGAGGTAAGTTCCCATCAGGCACCATCAATGACGATTTCCTGGACAACAAACTAGGTTTCCCCTTAAGATCATTTTGAGAACCATTTGGAACTTGTGGAGAAGTTTTTCCTCCATTTGCTAGTTTCCCCCATTTGCTTTTCACTCCAAGACCACCAGCTTTGCCGTTCGATGATGGAGATTTAGGTGCACTTTCAGTTGGTGACTCCTTTTTGACAGTTTCATTTGCTGCGTCTTTTGGAGGGCCTAATGTACCATTTTGTATGTTGGTGTCTTTTGATTGCAGTTCTTTTGATTTTTCCTCTTTGTTTTTATCACCAGTTCGAGGTGACGGTGGACCTCCATTTTGGGTTGCCTTAACACCCACTGATAAATCCTTCTTGGAAGTTTCAGTTCCGGTAACTCCGTTAGTGTCTGATTTATCATTTGCCGTCGTTTGTTTCTGTCCTTTATTGGCGCCATTTTCCTCCTTCTTAACCCCTCCCTTCTTTCCGCTACCTTGGACCATTATCACTGTTCGTTGTACCGTCCGCAACTTCGGCCTTACCCTCGGACCCTGGAGATACAAAAACACATCCAATGGTGATTAGAATTAGAATATGAACGTTCGTGATGAAATGAAAAGGTTATTATATACAAATAAATAAGCTAACGTGATATTATCAATAACAATCAAAAGTATGAAAAACAAACCATGTTGTATCTTGTGTAGTTAATGCCGAAGTGATAATCGAGACAGACAATCAGCAAATAAAATCGTAATAATTCAACCCAGGAGACACTACTCCGAACGCCTAGGCACGAGACCATGAATATTTAATCATAAAAACAGTTAAAAACTTACACAGAATCCATCAATTTCATTCCAATTAGGAGAGATAATATACGTGAGGTTTAATCCGTTACTGTTCCAGTCTCTATTAATCGTATTTTATCTCTAAAATTCAGACGTCTTTACCTGAGAGTATTTTCCTCGGCGGCTAATCTCCTATAAGTTCTTACAATGTTTATCAATATTGTATACAGACCCGACCATTGAGCAGTCTCCCCAATAAACGCCCTTACATTCGAATACAAGATGCCGATGATTTTCTCGTAAAAATAGAATTCAAACCCAGACGACAAATAAATATCACTGATCACGTGTGAAAGATTGATGTCCATGCACTATATTTGAACTCAATAAACAATTACGTTGGTCTTTTGCCGGAAAAGATGAATCAAGTTGATGGTTCTTTTAGAAATCACTGTCGGCGGTTGCGTGTCAGCGTCAATTGCTATTGGATAAATCTTTCGGAATAAGTGCCCCCTCTTACCTGGAAACGACCATATAATCCTAATAGAAATCTGCTAGTACTTACATCATTGATGCTTATACGAGACTTTCGATTGCAATCACGTAGGTTACATGTAGCTTATTGTTATCCCCGTGCTACAGAATCCCAGCTCGATGTTTCTTCTTGTGTCGCTCATCGTTTTGGGATTTGATATTATAGTTTAGATTTTTCATTATAATCCTCTCCAAGGAACGTCGAGGTTGAATAACCCAAGTCGAGACATAAAGCAAGATGAGTTTTTTTTAATTAAGGTTCTGCAACCATCGCTGCGCGCTACTTCTTTAGTACAATAGCAGTAATATACAACTTGTGTCATCCCAGTTGGCGATGCTACAATTCTTGATAGAAAAATCTTATCACTCCCTTCACCATGAAAACAACTTGTTCCTTTAGGACATACTGGGATAAAGGAACAAAACAAAACAGAATTGAATTTATTGTTGTTGAATTTATAGCATCAGGCAGGGATCGGTTAAAATTTCAAAGGATCAGCGAAAATCTCGTACGTGCCATTTGGGGTCCCGTATCAAATTTTGTATTGAATACATTACTAATTTATTGTCGGAAATGAATATGTAAATTCCATTCCTTGGACAATATATAGGATATCGACCTCCGAAAATGACGCCAACGCCCATGGCCATACGATATTTACATAAGTCGGAATCATATTGTCCTTCAAATAAATCCATATTCGCCATTTCGTCCCATTCAATAACCTTATTAGCCTACTGATCATTTTCATAGTACTATTTCTCAGGGATTTCTTCAGGTAATATCATGTTTTTCTAGTAATAGTGTACAACTATTGGACTTATTTTCACAAAATATTTGTATCAAGGCAGTATTGAAACGAGTTGGTAGATACGTTACTCTGCACGCAGAGTCTGCAGGACGAAGACGAGACGAAGCTCTCTTTTGAGAAGCGAAGTCGAACGAATGCAAAGGGTATAGATAGATACGTACATATTTTTACAACGCAATGAGATACAATATATTTGATCTTTATTTATATTGTTTTATATTGTGTTGTATTGTTTGTTTTGTAATTGTATTGTAACACATTTTAAATATATTACAATTTACAATATATCGTTTTGTTTGTATTGTTATTGTATTCAATTCCATTGTATCACATTGTATTTTATTGTAAATTATTTTGTAATATATTGCAATATTATATGCTATTGTATCACATCGTAATTGTGGATTGTGAGCGACTGTATTGTGTTGTATTGTATTGCTTGAATATTCATTTATATTTGATTTTTGTTATATTGCATTGTATTGCATTATATTGTATTATATTGCTTGAATTCAAGCAGGGACTTAGTCTTGCTCAAAGACTGTATCCCCCCTCCCCGTCACCTTCAATCTCTTTACCTGGCAATATACAGAGAGAGAAGGATAAAGGGGGGGGGGGGAGTACAGGGTCTTTTAAGCAAGACTAGCAGGGACTATTAGCCTACGTGTTTCAAGTTCAGTTGTTTCTTAATGACCTTCACCATGACGCTAACAGAAAGGGAATGACTTTGACTTAGAAATGATCAATCGTTTATAATGAAACTTAATATCTTCTATAAATAAGTGCAAAATGACTTTAGATTATTGTTGAAAAATTACATAAATTTCTATTTAAAATTGTTGAGGTTGCAGACAGATTATTGTCAATATTTATAGTGGGGTTTACAATAATAGAGCACTGTAATTATATCCATAGTCATTATGGCGATTATCCGGATAATCTCATAATAGCCACCTTTGATCAACCCCTACTTTTAGATATAATATCCTTCATTTACATTCATTTTTAGCGATTCACATTTTATTGTTTTTCTAATGGTTTGTTTGATATGTGCAATATGGCGATCGTTAATTTCAATGGCGCGAAGAACACTTGCAACTGTTTCTTATACTGAAGAAAGTCTGTCGCGCTTTGTGTTACCTCCATAGCTTCCATCTTTGAATCATTTCCATAATCAATAACGTTAAGTCAGTGGAGAAAATCAGCTTTAGGCCTACTCACTCAAGATTGATTGTATTGTGTGTTGTGTAAGATTTTTTGTGTTTAATCGCTTTGTGGTGGCTTATCCTATAAGATTATCGGGCTTGTTGAACAGTACACACGTAAATCCAAAATACCTCATCATTCAACATCAGGACTTCCATCGAAACCAATGTAAACTAATCAAAAGTTGGGAAATATTTGCCCGAATATGATCTTTTACTCAAATATTGTGGACATCTAGAACTTAAGAGGAGGCAAAGGTGAGAGTTTAATTAATTTTGATTATTGTATTCGATAATGGAGTATTGATTTGAAGGTAAACAAGTCTAATTTTAATAGGAAATCACCTGTAACAGTTCAGATATGTTGTTGTTTTTTCGTTGTTCTCACATATATTAAGATCGTTTTAACTCTATTAAGGGTTAAAAAGTATTTAGTTAATTTCGTCATTATTACCGTCTAAAATAGCGTTACCATTTCTTAAGATTCTACTATATCAGTGTATTGACAGCCTAACGGATACGTGGACACAAGTATGATGGAATGTCAAATCTGTTCCAGTTCAAGAAAACCAATTAGTGGTTTCAGTTCATATGTCATTCTAAACCAGACTTTCGTATTTTGCAGACTCCACGATTGAATAAATCGAAACACTGCTTAGAAACCACTTCACCGTGATAGCATAAATTGAAAACGAAATTATGCCAAAGGACAATAACATATTCATGGTGAGGGTGCCCCGCGCAGTGGAAGAGCCGAACAAGTTGACACACAGCCCAATGCCGCCCAAACCAGAGAGAAAAATAAAATCAGCACCGCCAATGAGGTCAAAATCACCTGTTAAAAATAAACATTTGTTTTATGGAAAATTTAAACCAGTAAAAGTTAACCGTGACGTAAAGGATGTGTCGCAACTAGACTTTCGGAACCGATCTTGGAGCGTATGTGGGGGTAACGATACATATTGTAACTCGCCAACACTATATGGACATGACAACAAACGAACTGAAAAGCTTTGGAATATCCAAGATGTCGCATTGACAAAACGAGAAGTTGAGACTGCTTTACCGAGACGAAGTTTCTACAATTGCCATGATTTGACATTGAAAAGGGCAGGCATCGATCCAAAGAAAATAGAACAGGATGCCCAAAAGAAAACGGAGGTAAAGACAAAGAAAAAAACAAAGAAGAGAAGAAGGAAAAAATCAAAACAACTTAAAATTGCCAAAGCAAGTGAAACTCAATCTGAAGTTAATGAAAACATTGTTAGTGACGAGGCCATAAACAAACTGTCTCTCCAGTCTACAAACACCCCTGATACAAATACCCCTGATCAACACACAAACGAAGTCTCTGGAGCTAATAATATGATAAAGACAATTAATGAAACACATGCCAAAGATTGGAAACACAACAAATCATCCGATAAGGGTGACAACAATTCAGATAGCATTGCTGTGTCAAGGGCATCGAGTGAACATGATCTTATTTCTAGTCGAATTGAAAACGAAGCCAACAAAGCAGATGACAATAACATTCAAACATTGATGTCAGAGCAAACCGATATAACTCCTGTTGAAACAAAAGAAACAACTGAAGAGGAAAAGCCACAGTGTATCACTACTGATAAAGACGATGCAATTGCTAACGCCAGTAGCGTGAATGAATCGAACACTAATTCAACTGCAGATTCAAAGGCTACGGATGTTACACGAGAAAGTAATAAAGAGCTAGAACTCGTTATAGCTGATATTGTGAAAAAGACCCAGGCAGCCCAAAGATTAAAAACAGGTAAAACCCGAGATGTGGATTTTACAGTATTACTCAAATATCTGCTTGAGGTCAAACGATGTCCAATGGATTATTGGAGAACAAAACATAAGCTCAGTGGAAGAAATAACAGTGGTACGACAGTTGAAACTTACCAAACAGACATTCCAACCGAATCCCTTATTGTTCAAGCAGCGTATGAAGTAACGCTCATGTCCCGAATGCTCAATCCAGAAACATTCAGACGGCGTAAAGCGGAGGCAGAGGCGAAGACAAAGTCAGCCAGCGGGGCAACCGTAAAACTAAAAGACAACAGGATCAACGTTGATATTCCAAGTACAGTGAATCAGGAATATAGTTCAAGAGTAGAAAAGTACCGAGCAGAAGTAGAGCAATGGCTGACGACACTAACAACAATCCAGATGACAACGGCACGTGATATGGCCCTGAAAGTAATGGGCGAGAAGGGAAGGTCAGATATGAATGAAATGATCCGTAGACGGAAAGCACAAGATCTAAAAGAACAATTTACATCAGTTTTTTAAGAACATTGACTATGAGTTATTTTGTGTCTATCACTTTTACGATCATTATTATGTGATGTAGACAGGATATATCCATGCTGATTTTTGTGATTTCATTTTGTATCTCCTTGATCTATGAGGCCAATTTTATACCTTAATGGAAAATCCCAGACGATAACAGTGTGACTTGTACTAAGTGTACTTGTGAAAACGTATCACACTATCAGTATTATGACTACAGCTTGGAAAGAGGGACCCCTTGCCAAGAAAATCATTACTTTTTGTATTAATAGTATATTGACACTGTATTAATTTACTAATGTTGGTTTGCTTATATACGATGCAAATTGCTAAAAAGCATTGATAAATAAATCAAGTTATACGAAAAAATGTATTTAGTAGCACTTTTACACCAATCTTTCTATAACAGATTATACCTGTAAAAATTAATGTTCTGTAGTTTATTGATTTAAATTCCATTTATCCTTTTTTCCTAGGAGAAATGAATGCAATAAACAGTTTCAGTAAATCAAATCCTTATTTCAATATACCTTTTCTACGTCTTCATCCGCCCAGGTCAATTTCATAATCGGCAATTACTGCATTTAGTAGAATAGCCTACTTTGTTTTACCAAAATGGGGAACCTAAAAAGAAATAATGGATCATAAATTGCATGCTGAATTATCCAGATAGACCATCGATGAGATTTCTCCATCCAGAAAACATAGATACTAGATTAAGTTCGGAAATGCAAAAATGTCTTTAGTTTGCCCTTTAACAAGTGCTACGTCCACTTTCTCTCTTCTTGTCCAGAATAGAGTAAGTGGGCAAGGCACATTTTAAGTCATACTTTCTATTGCTCAATGAATTATATTTATTGAGTTACGTAATTATATCTCTCTTTAAAGGTATCTGTCATTAAAAGAGAACCACAAATCCCGGAGAAACAGCCGGACATTATCAAAAGAATTCTGAAACCCCGAGGCCCCAAGCATTCCGGCATTTGACCCAAACGGTGACTTCATTGTAGTCTCTAAATTGTCTTCGGAAATTCCTCGAACCAACATGATACTAGTATATGATTTTGACCCTTTGCTGAGGAAGGCGATATGGTGGCCAGTGGGCAATATATGATTTTTAACCATGATGGATCAAACCAATACTATTGCCTACACGTGAATTTGAGAATGCATATCAACAACAATAGCCCAAAACTAACATAAACTCTAGTCCTAAGGCTCAGTCACATTTGCTCAATGGCGGCCCTACGGTGGCCGTAACTTCACAAAATCGATATAGAAAATCTAAATCGTAGTTGCTTATCCCTATACTTTATGCTGCATATTTATCTCGATTTCGGGAAGCTACGGCCACCGAACGGCTGCTATAGCACCCTATGCAGACAGAGCCTGTGGAAAATATTGGGTGCGGAGCAAATGAGCGGAGGGTGCGGAGCTAACGGTCATTTTTGAATTTAAATTTGGGATATTTCTGAAACTAAGCCGTTTTGGGACTTCAAATATACCAAGATATGTGTATTTGACACCAAATATCAATACAATTGTGAAAATAATAGCGCAATTCATTCTACAGCGACGCAGTGTGCCTTAAACCTTTCCCAGACCTATATATTTTGAGACTATCCTTTAATACTGCGTCCCCAGCATTCATAAAAAATGGTGTTCAAGATACACTACCCATGCAAATTATTTTTGCATCTTGGAAGCCAGGCAGTATCTGTGTGATTTTATAAAAATTCGGAAATGTTTTTCAGATATGAGCCCCCACTAAATATTTGGTGCGGAGGAGCTCCATAAACGTACCTCCGCACCCAATATTTAGAGGGGGCTCATATCTGAAGAACATTTCCGAATTTTTATAAAATCACACAGATACTGCCTGGCTTCCAAGATGCAAAAATAATTTGCATGGGTAGTGTATCTTGAACACCATTTTTTATGAATGCTGGGGACGCAGTATTAAAGGATAGTCTCAAAATATATAGGTCTGGGAAATGTTTAAGGCATACTGCGTCGCTATAAAATGAATTGCACTACTATTTTCACAATTTTATTGATATTTGGTGTCAAATACACATATCTTGGTATATTTGAAGTCCCAAAACGGCTTAGTTTCAGAAATATCCCAATTTTAAATTCAAAAATGACCGTTAGCTCCGCACCCTCCGCTCATTTGCGCCGCACCCAATATTTCCCACAGGCTCTGTCTGCATAGGGTGTATAGATTAAATGTTACTGAGGCAACAAGAAGAATGCATTGTAAGACCAATTAAATGAACAACACATGGTTTCCTTACCTCATCGGTGCCCGATGACCATCATCCATATGTCATGGGTGTAAACCATGCTCCTTTGTTAAATCAGCGCTAAACGGAACTTCAGAACTATCTGGAGACCACAAGACTGCATTTTTGAACGGTTAGTCATCATGCTAAGTCATTGTTTGTATGTATCGTGTGTATTTTAATTTGATATCAACCTGAAGTATTGCAATATGATAACATGTGACCCTGATGTCAAATTCCATGCCGTGTGAACTGTATCGACACTCTTACGATTCACAATGCGATTCTGATCGTCAGAGTCTAGTTGCATTATTGGAAAGGGTATGTACAGTCTATCCTGGGTGTCAGAGCGTGGTTATATGTGGATGAAGCTCTCTTTTAGAAAAGCAAAATCTAACTATTGGAATGGGTAAAAACAATGTATCCATGGATTGGTGGTATAAAGCAACGTATTCATTCCCATTTGTGTGCTGTTATAACATTTGAATAACAGTAGCCTGCAGTAATATGTTTATTGTTTTAGACGTGTACCTTTAACTTGCTAATTTTGAAAATGTCATTGCAGATATTTCTATTTGAGGTGACCTTCTAGATATTGACACATAAAGAATGTTTTCAGATGGGTAAGTATTTAGAAGAAGGAAATGCAAATAGCGCCGTGTGATTCTTAATCCAAATCCAAGGATGATTGGCAGCCATTATTTTTAACTCGATACTCCGTTGTCTACTAGTTGTACCCTGCGCGCGGAGTCTAGTTATAAACTTCTGAAGACGAAGCTCTCTTTTAAGAAGCGAAGTCGAACGAATGCAAAGGGTACACTAGTTGTAGGCTATTGATTCAATCACCCTGAATTATTTCATGCAACAACCATTTTAATTATCAAATACAATTTCAATGACTTCAATCTATTTCTAATTTTTTCAAATAAATGTACATTTACACGCGTGATTTAAATCGTCGGTAAACACTCATAAAGTGACTAAGGATCATCATTGCGATAACTGAATGTTCTGAATGTTGTTTTATGTTATTGTCCAGCATGCAATATACACTTTCTGTTAGCCTGGCATTTAGGCTTATCGCTCACACACGTCTTCATCACAGCATGCAAACTTGCAGTGAACTCTCCTTTCCTGGCTCTCTTGGTGACAGTCGCATTGAAATATTGTGGTGACATCCCTGATACTCTGAGAATTTCCTTTACTATGTCTAATCTGAAGAAAGAAAAGTCAGATAATTTAAACACAAAATATACAATGCAGAGATTATTTTATGGGATAAAATATGAATTTAATTCTGAGTGAAAAGGGTCAAGGAAAATGTCATATTGACCAAAGGCGATAGAACAATACATATTCTTCAAGCTCGGTCCTTCACTGCTTTCATAGCAGCGCGTAATGCCTCATCTTAGCAAAGAAAAGTCAAATCATTTACACACACAATATACATACATGTACATACCAATTATATAATATTGTTAGGCTACTGTATTATGTAATGGATAAACAATGAGTCTTGGGGATTAGAAAAAATAATGGCCAAGGGACGAAGCCCATTCCGTATAATTGGTTTTGTTTACATTAATACGGAATAAATCATACATTTTCATGAAAAATGGTGATGTCCTGCAGATATTTATATAACTCGATGCTGGTCCACGTGTTAATACGGAATGGGTGTTAAAATGGTACATATTCCCGGGGAAATCACATTTCCCAATTGATGTATTGTATTGTATTTTCTTTATTTCCTCCATTAAATGAAGATTACAATTTAACATTTAAGCTTAACTCAAAATTAAGGAAAAATAAAATAATAATAATAAAATGTACATTATTTACAAATATTCCAGGTATTTGCATATTTAAATGTAGTACAGCATGGTTTAGAATATAATCTATTTTCTCCGCAGATACTATTAAAAATTGTTGCCAAATGCAATCATTACAATCAAATAACATATCTGTTCTGCTACCTAAAATAGTTTCAAGAAATATCTCATCATCAGTATTAAATAACGCCACAGAGTCAACAACTCCTAATGTATAGACTGTGGACTACTCTGATAATTGTAACTTCTGCTTTTCATGGAAGGTCACACATTCCAACATATTTCAAACAGTCTGTATGATTATGCTGGGCACTTTCTGGGTAGTTGGACTTCATGTAGGGGTGGCAGACGTCCCTCAGGCCAATTTATACCCCCACCCCAAGAAAACCTTGGGGGTACTTTAATACCACCTAATAAAAAGAATACTAATGCATTTCATACATTCATAGTTTTTTAGTAGGCAGGGCATACCATGGTTAGTCAGTGCCAGAAATATCCAATCTCTAACTTATATGGTTACCATGGAAACAGTATTTATATCTCAAAATCTTCTCAATTTGACCTCCTCCCAAATATGTCCCTTTGCTCTCAAAGTGAAATATTTGCAAATTTGTTAGGAATTTGTGGCTACCACTTTGTCAAAAGTTGTATAAATATGTATATATTCACAGTAAAGCACTAAAAAGTTGATATAATGCTCCAATAAATCAATAATATTTATCAAATATAGTCACACACAACTACTTTTAGGGAAAAGCACTTTTTGGTACTTGTCTAATTGTTGCAGCACTAAGCGAAAAATACATATTACACTAACAACAATTGACATTTAATTATCATCTACTAACATTGTGTAACATTGTAATATGTTCATTATCATTATTAGATACTTAAGATATTTTATGTAAGTGTTATCATGAACCTTCCTTTTATCCCTATACCATAGAAGGTGGGCATCACCAATGGTGTCAAACTAACTTTTCTGTTTCATTTATTTTTTACCATAGACAGGGGAAAAAGCTTTACTTGAAGTAGTGACCTCATTAGGTGCTATGTATATGGATAGATGGATTGATACTAGTAGGTAGATGGCAGCACTTGTGCTAGTTGGGCTAGATACTAGTTAGGGTGTTCCAGAATACGGCTTTTTTGCTAGCAAGATGCAGTTCAGCCCAGATGGGCTCTTGATAGTAAAGTTTAAGCTGAAAAAATTTCGGTTCCTAAAATCGACGTTTGACCCCCCCCCCCTACCGACGTTTTTGCGAAAAGTGGTAAAAAATGGCAAAAAACGTCATTTTCTAGCCTTACAAGGTAAAATATGAAGGATGGATGTCAGAAACCATGTCAAAATCATTAGGTTATGGTCATTATGTATTATCATACAGTTGAAAACATAGTATACCTTGTTCATTAATTATTTAACCCTTTTCCTACTAATATTTGAGCGAAAATCGCAAATATATCACATTTTTGAAACAAACTATTTGCACTTTTACTGTTATTCATATGGTAGCTTATCTCTAATTACTAAACACCATCCAACTGGTCATAATGATAGTAATAACATTTATATAAATGGTACTGCAAGGGTTAAAAGCATTTCAAACTATACATTTGAAAACCTGATCTTATTTGTTATCATTCAAACAATATAAATATACCTCCACAATTTGTCAATGTCTCAAATTGCATAATAGTCAATTAAAAGATGTCACACTAATCAATAATGAAGTAAGTGCTGGCCTCTGGTGAGCAAAATTTTAAGGAAAACAACAAGCATGGTCAGCAATTAAGAAAAAATGCCTAGCCATTCAAAATCCAAGTCTGATCCTCCTGTACAACAAGGTGCAAAGCTGAAGCATCCTGGTGGGCCTTTGAGAAGGTCTGGTATCCAAGCTGAACGTTGGGATGAGTTTCTTGGTCCCTCACTTGATATTATTCCACAAAGTCAGTTACCATTGGTTAGGGAAGTTCTTCAAAGGTACCGCTGTCTAAGGATTGACGATTCAATAATTGAAACAAAATATCTAGCTTAGAAAATAGCCAAAGAAGTGCTTCATATTTGGGAAAGGGCAAGGGTGCCGACGGTGTCGGAAAAGCAAGCTGTCAATAAAGTGATGGATTGTATAACATTATGGAATTCAATGCATAACCCGCAAGAAATGACAGAGAAACAGTTGACTGTGATTAATTCTTTACTCAATCTTGCGCCTCGGGCAAGAGGCAAGGTATCTGAAGACAAACATCTAGAATATTTAAGAGACATAATGAGACAGCAGAAAGAGACTAGGCGTAAAACAGAAAATGATGAGGACTATGATTGGGAGATTGATTTCAAGTTTTTTCTTGATCAATATCAGGTATAATTCCTCAAACTATTTCACTTAATTATCAAGCAGAATATTTAGTAAATAAAAGAATGAAATAATGGAATTAATCTTGGTAACGATTTCTTTCGGTATCGATTATAATGAGTCATTATTCCGAATTGTAGGGTAAACGTGAGCAAACCCTTGGTAGTGCAGATGTTAAGCTTCATAAAGAAGTTGTGAAATCATTGGAAAAACAGGCAAAGCGGAAAAAGTTTGAAGTAAAAGAGATGGCATCAACATCTAAACAATTTAGGTACATATTAATTATGGTTGAATTATGAAATGAATTCTAAAATTGGCCAATCTGAAATGCACATTACCCCAAGTGGGACTCGAAACCACAACCTTCTGGTTATGTCACTGCTATCACTCAAAAATACCCCATAAACTCAATCACTCATTTCTTTGTAGCATGGTTCCTAGCTCATCTATTGATGCAACTAGCTCTACTGATGAAGAGAATGATATTGGTGAACAAGATGAATATAAGCCTACCTCACGGTCTCGGTCATCCTTGCCAAATGATATCACAATCAGTTTACCTAGAAAAGAAGTTCTAAAAACCACAGCTGATGTCGCTACAAGGTGTAAAGTTAGTCATCGTATTACAACGGCCATAACTGCTAAATTAATTAAAGTTGGAGGTGGTGACCTAAATGATTTTTCTCTTTCCACTACATCATCTTACCGGCTGCGTAAATCTGCCCTGGAAAAAGAAGAAGATAGGATTATGAGTGAATTCAGGGCAAATATGCCACAACATATAGTTCTACACTGGGATGGCAAGATAATAAAATATGAGCATAGACGGGAGACAGATGACCGCCTTGCCATCATTATTAGTAGCCCTACTCCTAATAGTCATGATCAGTTCCTGTCTGCACCCAGAATTGCCAATGGAACAGGCCAAGCCCAAAAAGATGCATTACTGAATGCCATTGAACTGTGGCAGATCCCACAAAACCATATTATAGGAATGTCCTGGGATACAACCTCCTCAAACACAGGCCAATATAATGGTTCCGCTACTCTGCTAGAGGAGGCCCTTGATCGTGGAATTTTATGGCTCGCATGTAGACACCATATCGGGGAACTGCATGTGAAACATGCAGATATAATTGTCAGAGGAGCTTGGAATGGTATGTAAAACACTATGAGGTGCAAGGGTTTGAAATAATTAGCCTACAATGCAAGATCACCACTTCTGGATTTCTTTGTAGTGTAAAATAAATCCCATTAAACACACTATATTTCAATGCCTGAAACTTGCAGTACATATAATTTTGATTTTCATGATCCTGATATACTCTTTAGGTCCCACAGATGATACATTTGAGAGGTTCCGCAAGCGTTATGGGCAAATTGTGCTAGACCTACAGAATCTACGGGCATGGACTTGGCCTCCAAGGGACACTCCTCAAAATATCTTTCTCTGTGACCGGGCTATGGAAGTTAAGTTGTTCTGTCAACATCAACTGCTACATGGCACATTTGGGCGTGATGATTATAGGGAGATCTGTGAATTGATCATCAAATATCTCGGTGGCCAGGTTTGTGAGAAGTAACTACATTCCATTCATTATCTTTGTCATTGTGGTAAGTTTACAATTTACATGTATCTCTTATCTTAAGTCATTCGTCCAAGAAGAAGACATAACCTACAGCAGGGACAAGACGACTTCATCATGCGTGCCCCGGGGGCATTTCATCACGCACGGTTCCTTGCTGTTGGCATCTACCTTTTGAAGTTGTCCCTCCTCGGTGATAGACTGCCCCAAGGTCTTGTGACACCAGCAATGATGACATCTATCGATAGGATGGCTCTATTCATATCTTTGTTTTACGGCCCATGGTTTCTTCAAGCCCGTGTCTCTGCACCATCACCACGCCTTGACCTACAGCTCTGGAAACACATGTGTATCTTTGAGGTAAATCCATATGCCAGGCATTCAAAATGTACAGTTGTAATAAGTAAAAAATATTGGAGTGTTCATAACATGAAGGTCAATAAGTAAAAAACTTCTAATATATTCTAGGATGTAGATAATGAGATAGCCCAGGAAGTGAAATCCTCCATACTCAGACACCAATGGTACCTCACTGAATCCCTGGTAGTCTTTGCCCTGTTTGATGATGGCCTGGATGACATCACACGGGAAAGTATGGCAAGACGTCTATTGGAAATCCAAAGACCAAATGTCTTCAACCCTGGGAAGACAGATTTCCACACTGATATACTCATTCAGCCCAACCAAGAACTTATTGACTTTTTAGGGCCAAGATCTTGGTTGTTATTTGATCTTACAAATGGGGATACAACTTGGCTCAATCTACCCATCAACCAGTGGGCTACACATCAAGGATATATTACATTAGCAGCTATTGTGCATAATCTGCATGTGGTTAATGACGCTGCAGAGAGGAGCGTAAAAGACATACAAGACTACGCCAATGCTGCCCGTGATGGCACTGTGAGGGCTAGAATGATTCTGGTTTCCTCCTCTCATAGGGCCAAGATCCCTGCATTCCTAAAAAATGAAATGCAGAATAATCTGTAGACATTAGACATTGTTATTATAACATGTTAGATCATTTATGAGTACATGGGTGGAACTAATTCAGTGTAAACCATTATCTAAATGAATGCATGATCACCTTATAACCAGGACTCTAAAATATGGTTTACAGTGCTTAACCCTTGCAGTACCATTTATCTAATTGTTATTACCATCAGTATTACCAGTTTGATGGTGTTTAGTAGTTAGAGATAAGCTACCATATGAATAACAGTAAAAGAGCAAATAGTTTGTTTCAAAATGTGATATATTTGCGATTTTCGCTCAAATATTAGTAGGAAAAGGGTTAAATAATTAATGAACAAGGTATACTATGTTTTCAACTGTATGATAATACATAATGACCATAACCTAATGATTTTGACAAGGTTTCTGACATCCATCCGTCATATTTTACCTTGTAAGGCTAGAAAATGACGTTTTTTTGCCGTTTTTTACCAGTTTTCGCAAAAACGTCGGTATGGGGGGGGGGGGGGGTCAAACGTCGATTTTAGGAACCGAAATTTTTTCAGCTTAAACTTTACTATCAAGAGCCCATCTGGGCTGAACTGCATCTTGCTAGCAAAAAAAGCCGTATTCTGGAACACCCTAATACTAGTGTTTACCATTGACTTGACATATTTCACTTAGTCTATTGATTTACCATATTCATAATTCAGTAAACCTGCATTTGCAATGAATTTGATGATGTTCAGATTGTGTTTGAAACTTGATGATAATCAGATTGTGTTTGAGACTGGATGTTGTTCAGATTGTGTATATATGAACTTTAAAAGGACCACTGAAACAATAAGTCAATGTTTAAGATTCTTTAAAATTATGTCAATGAGAAATTAGCCTGTTAACCTATAGTTAAACTATACTTCAGCAAGATTTTAAAGCTATATAGCAAATTTCATCATTTGCAACTTTTTCATTATTTGATAATTTAACCCATTATTCTTTATTGCTGATTAAAAATTGCAAGGCATTTAAATGACCTAGGGAAGCCAGTGATATGAATTGGCCGTATTCATTGATTTACAGTAAAATGGAATATTGTGAAGAACAAGAGAACTGTTCCACAGCTTCACAGGAAATATGGGAGCAAAGTCAACAAGGGATGTGGGAAACTAGGCTGTTTACATAGAGAGATTTAGAACTCTCCAGGGAAGTGTCTCTATTTGGTATAAAATACACAGGTCTATTCATGCATGTCATTTTAAATATGAATCAAAATTAGTGATATCCATGTTTCTGGTGAAAGCATCAATTGAAAGAGACAAACATCTTACTCCTATGGCATAAAATATAAGGAAGTTCGAAGCAGTAAAAAGGTATTACCATTTTAGATTTGATTGAATAAATTGAATCAGTGGCAATTTTTAAATTTTGATAAAAGAGGCTCTGTTGGTTAGATGGGAGAATTAGCTGCATGTTAAAGGTGGCGTTTTGCTCAGTTTATAACATAATTGATATTAAGCCCGAAACAGTAATAAATATTAAGCAAATATTTCATTCTATGGAGGGCAATACCTACGGGCTGTGGGCAATACATATTGCAAAAATCATTGAAGGTGCAGTTGTCAGAATCCCCAGGCGGGCAATACGCAGGGCAATAAGGGATACATATTTTATATGCCAATAATTCAGGGAGCTGTGAAATACGCTATGGTATTTTTAGTCCCATGGTACTGAATTAGCCAATCAAATCACACGATTAATAGCAATGATGTAATAATTAGTGCTACTTCCATGAACACCCGTTTTGTAGAATAAGATTCTGATTCTCGTAAAAAAAAATATGAAAATACAGGCACAAACAAAGTGCATTTCGAAATTCTGCTTTGGGATTTTGATAAATAGAATGATATTGGCTAAAAACTTCTGTCAGAATTGAAACAATTTTTCCCCAAGAAAATTCAAGATTTCAAAACAACAGCAATAGCTAGAACTATCCTATTTAGATGTTTACTTGACAGTATGTAGAATTAGGGAATCCGGACAAAGAATATTAACAGAAGTAGAAAGATTGATAAAGAAAATGGAGTTTTAGTTTGGGGGGGGGGCATGTAATTGTATACTTGTTTATGTAACAATCATTTCATAAAATTGATAAAATGACATATTCTAGACAAGGATAGGCATCATAAACTATGAGGGATTATGACTCATAAACTAAACTACTGGTATGGACATTTGGGGTAGTATTATGGAACATACGTTATATGGAAACTGTAACATTATAAGATCTTGTCCAATTTCAGTCATAAGGACCATTTATGTTACAGCATCAGGGCATATTACGTATAATATTAAGTTACTTAGGTATAAGTTATAAATTATGACTGTCATCATTTCTACTGTGCCAAAATCATTCAACCAATTTTAAAATGGAATACGAGAACAATTTTAGGTTATATTCATATGTCTAATAATAATTGATATTAAACATATTTACTTTTATTGTTCTTATACACTAAACAGATTTGTTTAGATATTATTTTAAGTTTCAACATAACAAACCACTATCCATATTGAAGGAATCACTGAAGGTACAGCATTTTGGAAATGTGTATTGCGAAATACTAAAAGGAGTTATACCTGTACCTTGTTAACCACGAGTCAATGAATGCATCATATAATATCTGCAAAATGATGCACTATGCAATTCATACATGGAATGATTTATTTTGCCATATTAGAATCAAGTATTATCTTTAATCCATTGGATAGATCATGCATTACCTGATGTTGATGTATTGATAATAGAATCAGTTAGTCAATTGTGAGACACCATTTGTCCGAGAAAATAAGAAATCTTAGTTATGTATTAAGGCAGGGCATAACATTTCACCTATAATTTATTTATGTTTACTACATCCCCTTTACTAGTTAGTATTAACTTCCCTTTTAAAGCGGGGTGAGATATCGTTGAAATGTGGCGCTGATGCACGATATATGAAAAAATTATCATACTCCATAGTTCCACTGTCATTTAAGCCCGATTTGGTACAAATGTCAAAGCATAATGTCAACTCTAAAGTAGTTTAATTCAATGAAAATAAAAAATATCTAAATCGACAATTACTGTCTGCCATCTTAGATGCGAAGGTTACGGCCATTGCCTTCACTTGGTGCTGATCAGTGTCCTTGCTCTGGTACAAATTGTCATTGCCCTCTGTTTGTAACCCCTCCCTCCTCGATTAAGGCCATGAATATGAAGATGATTTAGAGGTATTATGAGAGATACTAGTGAAGGGTTGTTTTATGATAAATGAGTTCATATAACTTAATCCAAGTCATAACAAGTATGCAAAGCACACCAGCATGAGATAACATCATTCTCAAAGGATGGAACAGTCCATTACTTTTCAATTGCATAAAATGGCTCTAACCCTGACAAATGTATTAATCAATTTTAACTCATAGCTCTTGATCAATGGAACCATTCATATTCTAGGTACAAGTCAATGAATACGACTTTGACAAACTAAAAAGACTAAGGACCTCTAAAAGTCTAAAAGACTAAAAGTTAATTTGACCATTGATGACCTATGATAGGGAAAGGTCATGATAACACTTATATAAAATATTTAAAGTATCTAATAATGATAATTAACATATTACAATGTTACACAATGTTAGTAGATGCTAATTAAATGTCAATTGTTATTAGTGTAATATGTATTTTCATTTAATGCTGCAACAATTACACAAGTACCAAAAAGTGCCACGCCCATTTTTCCCTTAAAGCAGTTGTGTTTGACTACATGTTATAAATATTATTAATTTATGGGATCATTATATCAAGTTTTTAGTGCTTTAGTGTGAATACATACATATTAATTCAACTTTTGACAAAGTAGCAGCCACAAAATCCAAACAGATTTGCAAATATTTCACTTTGAGAACTAAAGGACACATTTGGGACGGGGTCAAATTGAGAAAATTGTGAGATATAAATACTGTTTCCATGGTAACCATATAAGTCAGAGATTGGAAATTTCTGGCACTGACTAACCATGGCATGCCCTACCCACTATAAAACAATGAATATCTGATATGCATTAGTATTCTTTTTATTGGGTGGTATTTAAGTACCCCCAAGGTTTTGTTGGGGTAGGGGTATAGATTGGCCTGAGGGCCGTCTGCCACCCCTACATAAAGTCCAACTACCCAGAAAGTGTCCAGCATAATCATACAGATTGTTTGAAATATGTTGGAATGTGTGACCTTTCATGAAAAGCAGAATGCATTTCTAGAGCACTTCTACAGAATAGTCCACAGTCTAGTATCAACAACAGCATTAAATAGATTATCTCTTTCTTGAAATAGTACTTGACACTGTAATAATATATGTTTTGTGATGTCATTCGTCACACTATTGCACGTCATACGTCACACTATTATTTTTAAAGCATCATCAAACATGAAAAATAATATCTGGTTGTTTTGTTAAACGAGTTTGACCGAACTTACCATCCAATAACCCTATCAATTAGGTGTACTAAGTACATAATCCCAATTTAATCATGCGCGCCTTATTAATCCCCTCAATTATTTACCATAGTGTTAACGGTCCCACACGGCCATGCCCAAAGAACTGCACGTACATGGATGAGGTTTGTTATAGGCTAACTAGATTATTTTACGTTTATTTTCAATTCTTATAAGAACACTAATACATGCAGGCTAGTGAGATCATAAACAAAGCTTTTCTCGTATCGGTTATCATACTTGTACATTGTATTCATCAAACTTACCCAAATCCGATTTTCAATATGCCTCGACCAATCAGGTAACATAATTTTGATCATGTGACTAGTAGTTATTACAATGTGGAAATAATGGGACGATCACTTACTATTCTAGTATACTCTGCAGGTAATTAACAAAGGAGATGAACATGACACTATACATGCAGTACAAACAAAAAAGCAGATTTGACATTATTTGTAACAAAAATAAAAGTTCATTCAGTCTTAATCAATTACTAACCTGTTATAACAGTATGTTCATCTCCTTTGTTAATTACCACACGCCTAACCATCGCGTAAGCAGGCGTCACCGTACAGCGTCAAAAAAATACAGTAGTACAGTTTTCTGTACGGTGACGAAAATTAACTGAGTTGAAGCAAAAACTATAATGAGGGTTTTAAAAAGATTAATTAGATGAAAATAAATACGATTTCGGGTGTAATAAAAACAGCATTCTCTTAGGAATGGTTTTAACTTTCTAATTATGATAAAAGTTTTTCGAGCACTGCTCGGATTTTTTCTGACTGGATCGGCCCACATAATCGACTCGAGAGAAAAATGGTGTTTTTTCACTTTTCGTTTGGTTATTATTTTCCC